AACATTTGGACGGATGTTTCTTGAGTGGATGAATCCTACTGACTTTGTTGTATGACCATGATGTTGACATTTGTGGTTTTGGGTGAATGTACTACTGTAACTATTAAATGGATTTTCATGAAATTTGATACAAACATTAATTTCCCCCACCAGAAAGATGGCTGTCCATTAATTTGTTAGTTAGAATCAACAAGTAGAACTGAGTACATTTTTTATATATTTAAATAATGCTGTAGCCTCAATGTGTGGGAGGTTTTGAGATTTGGTGTTGGTCTTTAAAGCCACTGTGTGGAAGACAACAATGCACTTGCCCCCATAGATCCAACATGAAGACTGAAAGCTACATGGACTGTGCAATTTCTTAGCCTCATTGCCTAATCTTTTAATATTATACTATTAAAATATATTTTTAAATGCTTTAATCATATCAAAGTTTGACAGTAATGGCTTTTAGGCACCACACCTATTGAATAGCAGAGAAAACACTGGCATACACCAATAATTTACAAAAACTTTTGAAAAATGAGGTCCATGCTTACAGTGACCAGCAAAGTGAACCTCTCCCTGTCCACCAATGGGCTGCCATTGTGTCCAGGATATTCCCAGGCAAGGTTCAGCCCATCAAAGTTATGGGTGCGCAGGTAGCTGATGGCCGACCTGATAAAAGCTGCACGACTCTCAGGCTTGGCAACCATGGCGATGAATCTGGTGGGATGCATAAAACATGGTAATACAGTCACAAAGGAAGGTTTTCTGACTTCTGTGTTGAATGTGTGAGGAAGACTGTGAGAACTTGGGTAAGATTTGAACTTACGGGCTCAGTCCATTGACGGTGCCTCCAACAGACAGCAGAGTCTTCAGTGCAGGATTGCTAATAGCAGAGAGAGAGAGAGAGAGAGAGAGAGAGAGAGAGAGAGAGAGAGAGAGAGAGAGAGTTACAAACATTACCTTAAATGTAATCATCAGATCATCGAACAACAGAAAGTTTCTGGCCAACATATGCTGATGACATAATGCTATATTTCACTCACCAAAGTTTCCTCACAGCTCTTAATAATAATAATAATAATAATAATAATTAAAAAATAAAAGAATAATGTAATATTAATGTTAAACCTGGCCTCATGATATTCTAAATTATGTTTGGAAAATGATTAAGCAGAAGTGGTCACATCTTTGATATACTTTTGTTATAAAACATTATTGAAGCTGGAAATGTATGTATGTAGTTAATTCTTGGTATTTAATTGGAAGATTCCTTCATGATTTTGAGAATAGAACATAGATGACATAATTGACACCTTTTTAATTAGTGTGTGCATTAAAATGGGAAAAAAACAGGATTCCAGGCTACAAATGGTTATTTAAATATTGCTCTAAATGCCATTCAGTCAAATGACACTGGCAGAAGACATTGTGTGTGTACTGTACTTTTACTCTTGAAAAAGCCACATCAGCTAAATGTTATTGGCTGTGTTAACTCACACATTCCTGAGGCTGTTGAGCCTGCTGAACTGCTGCTCATCGTTCCACTCAATGGGGCTGATCTGGTTGAAGCTGTTGATGGTGGCCAGTGCATAGATGACGTGTGTACACAGGAAGGGATCGATGTTGTCTGCTGTAAATTTGGCAATGCTGGGCCTGTACTGGGCCCAGTTGGTCATGTGGCACACCAGTTTATTGGATGAGGCTGATGGAGGACAGTAGGACAGCAGCAATGAGACTTTAAGTGCACCTGTGTTTGTTATGAGGCTTTGATCATGTTAGTGTAAAGAAGAGTCAATGCCTGTTGTCCTACAAAACTAATGCTTACCGATTTGCAGAATGAGCAGAACGCCCAGGGCTGCAAAACAACAGAGAAGAGAGAAGATGTGAGACTTAGTGTAAATACATACATGTGCAAGAAAACCAAAACAATACAATGGGCAGGGACCATCCATATCCATATTATATATCTGCAAGATTTCAATGTAGGATATTACTTAATTAGATACTAGATTTATCAACAGTGCAGCCGGAACACATTTGAAAAGTGTAAAACACGAGATAAATAAGATTAACAAAGCTTCCAAAATAAAATACTAAGTTGGCTGATATAGTCTCTTAAAAAATGAGTGCAGTTATGTGAAATGTTAAAAATGGTTCAAATATCAGAATAATTTAATTCTTAGTCTTAATTGCTTTGCTTACTTTATACTTATGCCTCAGTTCAGCTAGTTAATGAATGACTAAATTAATAATTGAATGACTGTGTGAATGAATGAATTAAAGCTGCAGCAGGTAATTTTTATAAAAATATATTTGCTGACATCAGCCCCCTAACTTTCACTATATCCTGACAGTAGAACATGAGACATATAATCTGTGAAACAATCAGGTTCCTCTGGCTCCGCCTAGAGCTCCTAGTGGGATTTTCAAGAATCCACCGGGCCTGGCTTTTTAAACTTTAGAATTTTTGAAATTAGTGCTATAGAATGAAAATGGTAAAAAAATATTTTTATGGTAAAAAAACTGGCAGCTGTGATTGCCAGAACTTAACGGTAAAAGGATATAAGTGTTGAGTTTTAATCCATATTTTATTGTATAAATACAGGTTTTTACCGACATACCATATGCCATATCTAAAATGCCGTATAAATAAAGCTTTTTCCATGAGATATCAGTGTTTTACTTTTACAGAAACTTGACAGTTTTCACTCTCAAATCAGACATTTTTTACAGCGTAGGACTGGTATATTGAATATAAAAAATTAATGAGTGAATGGTTTTTACCAATGAGGAGTCTCGCCATTGTGCTCTCTGAAGATCCAACCAATGTTCTTCTGCAGCGGGGAACCTCTGATTGAGTGTAAAACATTCAAATTAAACACATGAAGAATAAAAGCAGACATTAGGCAGCTACCACTGCAAAAATTATATTTTGAATTAATTATTCAAAAGAAATCCTTAAATAAATCAATAATGAAAATAATTATTAGCTGAAGGCTACTACTAAAAACTGCAAAACAATGCAACTATAAAGTTACAACCACTTTGTAAAATAAAAGTATTTTATATTTGCACATGAAGCAAGTCGCAGCTAAATGCTAGCTGTAAATGACACAAATCCGACCATGCTGATGGTCTCATTACCTTTCTTCAAGAGGAAGAGGAGCAGAGTGCAGAGCAGGGTGCAGTTGGGTTGATTTATATTTTACTCATTAATGACTAATAGCTGGTGGCAAAGTGCAGCTGATAAGGGCTGAGGGTGGTGGGAGTCTGACTGACTGCTAATAACCCCCTTCCAGGTAAGACTGGACAAAGCCATGAAAGAATTACACATGCTGAATCAGTTCAGTTTCTCTAGTGATAAGTGATAAGCGTGCATCTGCATGGATTAATACCAGGAAATAAAGATTAGAAATAATAAAATAGCAAAGGTGGTAGATAGGTGATGCCTAAATGTGGCTGAAATTGACTTTACAGCTTCCTGCTGGGAATCTGGTTTAGTATCCTGAGGAATACTTACAGACCATATGGTTGGATTAAACCCTGTGTGATTAAATAAGATATTAAATATTCTTGTTAAAGAATATTTAATAAATATAAAATATTTTCATAAATGTTTGCTATCTTACACATGGTCAGATGAGCTGACTGATATCAGTTTCATTATGCAACCAGTACAGAAAGAAGTCCAGGATCTATTGAACCCAGCTGTGTGGACAGGAATCCTGGTACACAGCATGAAATACCTTTTTTATGTCTATTATAAAACGTCTATTATATTATATAATCTATTATATAAACGTCTATTAATTTAACTGAACTGTTGTTGATTATCAATTAGCTTCAGTGCAACTGATCCCACTATTCATAACCACAACGTTTTCCATTTCTACACAGTCTGCATCATTTCTAACAGGAAATGTTTGTTTACATCATTTTCAAATACAAGTGTGTAGTGTTCAGTGGCATCTAGTGGTTAAGTTGCAGATTGCAACCAACTGAATACCACTCACCTTCTAATGAAGGAGAAACTAGAGGGGCCGTGTTTGGTTTGTCCATTCTGGGCTACTATAACATTCATTGTGGATATTCATGGTCAATGGACCTCTGACCAATACTTTGATCCATGACAAAGAATCTCAAAAACCACTGGTTGAGTTTTTGACTGGCTTATTAATGTCTTTCAAATTTGCAGTGGATAGTTACGGTCCCCAGAGGATAAATCCTGATGATTTTGGTGACTTCTGAACTCTCCTGTAGTGCTACCAAATTGGTCCCTTGTGCAGAAACTAACTCTTTCATACAAGACCCGCTCTGCCTCTGAGCCATAGATGTTTGGAAGATGCAGACAATATGAGGTCTGAGGAGACAGTTTATCTTTGAAATACTACTCCATTAATATTAAAACAAGTTCACTAGTTATTATCCCAAATGTTTCCAACAATGTTCAAACTCAGAGAAATCTGTCATTGTATTCATGTAACGGTGCGTTTCACCGGTCGCCTGTCGATGGCGTCATATCCCCTTTGTGCCTGTGTCAGTGTTGTGGTTGTCTGCCAGAAGCTGTCATACATTGACTGTTTATCCAGTCTGAAGCCACATTTTTACCATCCACTGTTTAAATCTTGGTGCTTTTTAACTAGATTTGAACTGGATGAAGGATTTTAGTCATCAGACGTCTTGAACTTCAATTATCAGAGAAACAAGCTGTGCTAACGTTAGCAGCAGGGCTCCCGGTAGAAACCTCCTGAACCATGAACACAGAAGGAATCCTATCCAGGAGAAGCTGACTGCAATAATGGCAAAGGTGGTGAATACAACAACTCCAATGATCCCACACCCGTTCACAATCTCAGTCATCAAACTTGATCTTTTGTCACTGTTTTGATGCGACCCCTAGTGGAAGAAATTTCATACTGTATGTAGTAGTATCTGTCCTGTTGCCAAAGCCTCAGAGCAAAATGTGAGCTGTTGTGATCTACATAGGACACAATTGAAAGTCCACACGTTACTGAAATACAATCCCAAGGTGTTTATTTTAAATCATATTTACAAGTAGCATCCCTCCCACCCCTCCCTCACATTTCCATTCAATCACAATTTTGAAAAAGGCCCAAAGGCAACATTATCCGGTGCATCCAGCCAAGGCCATATGAAACACAGACTTGCTGTTACCACCTTAAGTGAGTGATGAGACCAGTCCGTCCACCAGTCCATCAGCCAGAACATTCAGCGACTGGGCTCCCGGAAACAACCAGTGAATTGACTTTATGGCTCTTCGATGAATACTAAAGGCATTGAGAAAAACACTTTGTACAGAGTAAAGCACAAAAACACAAAACCAGGACATCATTCAACGTTTCTAGAGAGCAGAAGCAGCTGTGTGAGGGTCAGTGTGGAACACAGTGGTGGTGATTTAAATTCGGGTCTGGACCAATTTAGTCTTTTAAGGGCTGACACCAATAATCCAAACGCAGAATCAGTGTTTAGACCATTAAAACCAAAGTTGGAGTATTGAAATGATTGTAGGCCCAGAAGTAGACCGCACTAAACTACACCTACACTCGTACATTGGTCTCACCCAAATTCAAATTTCAGTTTTTACTAACTAAAGAACATGTGGTCAATAATAATAATCTACAGCTAATAGCCTATAAAGTGAAATTCAGGGTACATGTTTTGACATTTGTGATATTTTGCAGACATGTTTTGCCTAATACATCGGTTTTACAGCCAAGTTAAATGAAAAAGTAAGAGCAACATTTTGGTGTTAAGGATGAAGCACGTGATTAAAAGTCACATTTTCCCGACAAAATAAAGCACATCATTGTACAATCAAGTGGTCCATCATTCAACCACTTGCGAAGTATAAAATAGAACACTGAAGTAACACAAACAGGTTTTGGTTGTCCAGACCATTCAAATTTTTAAACACAACAACAACAAAAAACAATAAAAGAAGTTCCTTTGGATCTAACAGAAAACAGAGAACCTTCCAACTGAGCTCACAAGCTTGTTCACACACTCTGATTTTGGCATTTTCATTTCACTTGCAGAGTGTATTAAACACATCCATGCATGCCAGAAAACAAACAGGTGAGTAAGTGCTGGTGTGATTCAGCACCTCCTGATGCTTCGGCTTTGGACCAGCTTAAGAAGCAAGTAACTGGCTTTTTCCAGAGCTTTCGACCACATGTCAGAGTTTTCCTCGATGGACGGGATGTCATGTTCCCCACTTAGGTCACATAATGACAACTGATCCATGTCTGTGACAACTGAGCCAACTAGACACTGAGGAAAACTATGAGGGGCGCCTGAAAGCTCGTAAGTGGAGTTATTTTGTTTCCAGAGTCGAGAATGAACTTTCACATTGTACTTTGTTAGATTTGGGATACACTGAGGTAATGGCAACTAAAATATGCATAATATAAAACATAAAGAAGACTGGGATGTTTTTTGTTGGCAGTTAAGACCCAGACCATGTATTACAGACTCTTGGACCACAATCCAAACCCGAAGCATCAGTTACTCTTTAACCTTTAGTATCAAACTGGTGACAGCAAACAGTGAAGGTTTGTACATACTTTCTTCATTCTGTGGACAGCTGTGGTCTCGTTGAAGCACACATGGTTCCATTCACACACTAATTGAGGGTCTGTGTCTGTCTGGCATCCCACACATGGCATTAAAACAAAGTTTGGTCGGCTATGCTTGACTCTGTGGGTGTGCAGGTCTGTGTCTAATTGACCGAGGGTTTGGCTGAGCGGCACTGAGGCACGCAAGACAGTGCAGCTTCAGTTGCATTCTCCTCAAAATCTGCACCTTCTGCAGGATTGTGCGGAGGTATGGCCGATTACTTGTTATTTCTCTGATTTGGAGGACCCTCGTGGACACACAGAAGCAGAAAGTATGAATTGACCTTTAGACAGTTCTCAGCAAAATCAACCAACAAAAAACAAACTGTGAGCACTTGATGTCTTTGACATGCTGACCAGACCTGACCTGGTCTGGACAACAGGACAACGTCTAGAACGCTAGCAGAATGAGATCACATCCTTCCTGTAAACTGTAGCAGGTCAGACATGTTACATAAGAGCTGATAGATGCTGACAGGATTACAACGAGGACGATATATGACACTATTAACTGCCCTTGCTGATAACTTTGTAGAACAACTCTTTCATCTCTAGCAGTGACTTACCCCTGCTGCCCCGGGCACTTCATATCAGGCCGCCAGCATAAAAGCAGCTGCAATAAACCCAAGAGACACTAAACAGAAACATTTTCACATTGTTGCGTGAATTACTTGAACAATGCTGGCACAACAAATGTAAAAGATAATAATGAAATACTCCTTCATCTGTCCAAGTTCCCCAACATGCGACGTAAAAAATAGAAAATGTAAACATTAATTTGGACCGGTGACATATTTCTGTAGTTTGCTATAATTACAGCAGAGACAAAAACACAAACAAGCTTACAGACGTTAGCAGGCGCTAAAAAGAAACAATATGAAGTTCTTCGGTGCTTCAGTGAGTGACTCCTGTTCTGTGTTCACACTGTGAGCAACAAGAGCAGCAGGCCGGAACAGGTTCAGCTGGGTAGATGCAAGTGTGTGTGTGTGCAGAGAAAGGTAGAAAGGAAACTGTGGATACAACTGTTCCGTATTTGAAGCCAAGCAATGCAACCTCCAAATACCATCACAGAAATCTATGATGTTGAGATATTTTGCATGTATACATTCTGTAATTACCCCTTCAAGGACAATTACTGCTACTGAAATAGTAGGGTAAACACTGGTTACCATTGATACTAATTAAGCGTCTGGTCCATTTGGTGTAGCAGATCCTTTTCAGTGAGCCACATACACAACATCAGCCCCCTGACTCTGTTTGACCGGAATGGAACAGGAAATGTTGGTTTGAAAAACATCAGTAATGCAATAATACTAAAATGATTATACTATGATTATATTATGACGAAGAAAAAAATGTAAAAGTAAGTTACATGAATTGCATCTTATACTCAGTATTTGTATTTTCAATGCAATGTTAACTGCCCTAAACTGTCAACTGCAGTAACACCTCTGGAATAGAATTTGACTGCTGCCATAGAGAATGACAGAGATCTTCAGTGAAGCACAAACTCATGTTTCCCAGACAGAAAACTGAAGTGCAACTCATCAAAAAGTCGCAGTTCAATGCAACTTCAATGCCGTCTCAGTGTTATTGCATGATGATATAAAAAACTGGTTTGCCATAAATGTAGTGATGGATTGTAAACACTTGAAATGTAGCTATTAAGTCTTACATAATTCCGACACTGCTGCACAGCATTGCATTTATTTTTTAGCCAAAAATATTTTGCACTGGTCAGGGGGTACTTGGCTGAGAACATATTTCAATGGGAGTACCTTAATGAAATAAGTTTGGGAACCACTGTAGTACAGTATCTTTGCTCAATGATTGTGTTCTGAAGTTTGCCCTTTTATTTTTTGGATTTTTATTGTTAACTTGTTTTAATAAAGCTGTGCCATTTGTTTTACCAGTGCTGTAATGTGTGTCCACATCTTCTCAGTCAGATGCATTTTGATTATATTTGTCATGTAACTATATTTAGAGGATCTTGCTTTCAGGAACTGAAGTATTTAACTGCATTGAAAACTGATAGCTTTGAGTCTCACTTGTAAACACTGTAATTAATGTTATGTGGATTTAAATCTTGTAGTTAAATCTGTTCTGGGAGCTTCTGTTCAGTGTGTATATGCTGTTAGTATTATTTTAGATGCCGATTTTTATGGCTGTCACACCACCCACAGTCGGTCAGAGTGCAGGGATTATCAGCCAGGTTGCTCTCAGTGTGAACAAACAGACATCACATGTAACACTGTACTGTTTGTACACAAGCTATACACACCATCAATTATATGAATAATTTACACCTGAAGTCTCTGTGTCTCACCAGCTACAGTTTGAAGGACGCGAGTGTGAGACGCGTCAGCCACAGATGTGATGGTCCCCATAAGGCATGGTTTTACTGACACAAATACACAACCAGACAATCCGCCCCCTCCCCAATTTCAACCCATTCAGATTAAAACCAAAAAGACCCTATTTGTTTTTATTATTTTAAAAAAGGAAAATCCCTCCTTCCTCCCCCAACCCTCCAATCCCTGCAGTGCTAAAACCTTCCCCCCGACCGCTGGAACCCACCCGACCCAAAACACAGGCTGAGACACAGGACAGCTTTAGTTTCAAGCCATTAAAAGTCCACAGACAGGCTGAGATCACAGGCCTGACAACAACGCAAGAGTGAGCAGAACCAAGCCAGCGAGGAGGTGGAGGGGGTGATTGGAGAGTGTGGAGGAGGAATCGTTCTGCACCATCATACCAGTTCCTGTGGGAGAGACAGACAGAGAGAGACAGTGAGCGACAGTGTGTGAACTGAATGTAACAGAAATATTTCTGTATCTGATACTGTAAACAAGGTTCCGGTTTGTGCCAGTTCACACATAAGTGGGGCTGGGTACTGAACCTCAAAACCTCACTCACAGGATCACCATTACCTAGGCGCACTCTCATACGTTGTTTGCAGTCATTTGAAGTTCAGAATGAGGCCTTAAAAAATGCTATTCCTAGACATTATGATGTCACAGCTTTTGGATATAAAAAGGCCTTAACTTCCTTGTTGTATCCCACCAAACGTGTGTGACATTTTTATATAATTACTGCATCGATTCTCGAGTTGTGACCAAAAACGTGTTTTGTCAAGGTCAGTTTGAGGTCACAGTGACCTTTGTCACCAATTCATTGTCTGACCAGTTGTGAAATATGGTCATCATTTCTTTATGAGTTATGGCCAAAAACATGTTTTGTGAGGTGAGGGTCTGTCACAGTGACCTTTGACCTTTGACCTGGACACATAAAAGTAGCAAGTAGCAAAAGGTAGCATCAAATGTCTGTTCAGATGATCAAATAGTTCCAGATTAAAATCTAAATTTTGTCAATGCATATGACAGCATTTGAAATAGAAAAAGGAGGAGGAAATATATTTCACTCTGAAACATCACTGTCACTCAGAGAAACCTTTGGTGTGTGTGTCCCACCTGAGTCCCGGGACACAATAATCTCGTGTGCCGGGCCGTCCCCGCCCTCTCCCCAGGACCGGATCTCCAACACGACGTAACCATTGTCCTTTGGCAGCGGCAGGCTCACCGATGTCTTTGCCTTGTCCAGAACCTTGAGCGCTGTCTGGCCCTCATGTTTGTACAGAACCTGAAGAAAACAGCAGGTCCACAGGTTAATTCAGACCCTATTTCAACGTTACAACCTGAAAGGAATCTTTACAGCTAGCATCAGACCAAAACACACTCAGAATAATAAGTGTTGTTGAGATTTGTATTCTGGAATGTCATTGTTTGTGTTGAAACCATTGTAACAGTAGTTATCTGTTCATAGCCATGTTTTGCTCATGTAGCCATTGTAAACATGATCTTTGATTTTGTTATACAGTCTTTTTATTGCTTCTTATATCTCACACAGAGAAGATTACGTATCACGAGCTGACACATCAAAAAGTAAAACATCCACCAGCAGTACTTGTACTCCTGCCAACCTATACAAGGATAATTCAGCCTATTAACAGGATGTCTACAAGCTCACTGTGTGTGAGAACATCAGGCTACATAAAGCCCTGACATGTTGTGATGGTTGCCATTGACAGTATATATAATGGACAGGGCTTCCGGGTCTGTGAAGTTATGTCAATGTTGAAGTATCTTAAACATTCTATGCATTCTATGTAATGGCCAGCAGGGGGCAGCTCCATTGGCTGCAATAACACACCAATACCATGCAGTCTAATGGAGAATGAGCCAACTTCTGACTTGATTTATGAGCTCAGTAAACAGTTTCCTAATGAGTTTATGGTCTCAATCTCTAGTTTCAGTCTTCTTCCATACAGTACGATGTTCATTTAGTAACTGATGGTCCCATTTACAGTAAAATAGACCATAAAGCAGGGTATGATTTAGGGCGGGGCTACCTTGTGATTGACAGGTCATTCTCAGTGTGTCTGTCCAACTCAACGCAACAAACTCAGATCTAACTGTCAAACTAGGCAGTGCTGATCAGATATGGATCCAGATTCTGTTACTGTGTTGTCTATTTGTCTCCTAAAACCGTTGCAAAAACATATTTCAGTGTACTGTTTATCTGGAATATGAGATTGTTTGTGACCATGTGAGCCACCATTGTTTCAGATGATGTCATTATATGTTCACACTTGGTCCATACTTGTCTATAACATACTAGGTCCAAGTCACAAGTCACCATAAGGCACCATAGCAGGTCAAAATGCAAGTCTTAAATCCTAATAATTAAATTAAATTAAATATTCAAGGTGTGCAGCTTGCCTGGTACTGATCTAGCTCGTATTTATTGTTTACTGTAAGTATTTACCAGGTGAAATTATGTGAAATTCTCAAGTCTTCAGTCTTCTCACTACAGTCTGTCCCGAGTTCAAGTGTCATTGTCTTAAAGGACCAGTGTGTAGGGCTCTGTGGCATCTGTGGTAAAGTTGCAGATGGCAACCAACTGAAGCGTGAAGAACTGAAGAACTACAGTGGCTGCAACACTCTCAGATAAATGCAAAAGGCCCTGTCTAGAATCTGGGTTTGGATTATCCGTTCTTAGCTACTACAGACAGCTCATTCTAAGGTAACAAAAATACAACAATTCTTATATTCAGGTGATTATGCACTAATGAAAACACACCTATGAATATTATATTCCATTTCTGCCAATAGATCCTCTTAAGTGTTACACACTGGACCTTTAATGTCATCACTTTTGTAAAGTACTACCTGAGAGAACCTTTTAGAGAATGATGCAAACAAAGAGTTTTTAGTCAGACCATACTCACTTTGTAGCCCAGTACAGCTGACTCATTGTGCATGGCTTTCACATGGTCCCACCACACAGTTACCCACGAGCCATCAGTTTTCCATGACACGTTGCCAGGACGACGATTAGGAGCTGTGATGGAAACACAAACATGTTTTATAAAATAAAAATTGATAGCAGAAGGAAAAGAAAAAGAAAAATCAGCCTGTGGGCATGAGACAAAAAAACAACCCAATAGGGTATAAAAAAAACATTAATAAAAAAACCCACTTAATTAAAGGTAGTGTTAATTTCGTTCACTAATCATTTTAACCATAGTTTCTCGTCAACATTTTTTCACTGACGAAAACTAGACAACAACGAAATAACAAAACTAATTTATGAGGATAAAAACTAACATGAAAAGGTTAGGGAATCAGAACTAATCTATGCGTGTACTAGGGAGATACAAGCTAATTTCATTCTGTTCTCTAATCTGAGGTGTGTTTTTGCTACACTTGAAATACAATACAAGGTAAAATAAGCCTATGCTGTCCTGTACTGATAAGAGAAGTGAATGACTCCGTTTCTTAAAACAGATGTCTAAAACTGGCATTTTAGTCAAAAGACTATAACTTATATTAAATTAAATTTTGCTATCAAAATGAACACTGGTTAAATTTCTGGCTATTTCAACTGGTAAAACCACAAATGAGAACAAGTCATTTGGGGGCAGAAAATATATTTCAGGGACAAGATAGGAGCTGTAATGAGTATTTGGCAAGTGAAAAAATGCATTTTATGGGTTGTATTGGCCTTTTGAAGGTATTCAGCTGGAGAAGTTAGTTGGTGAGCTATAATCTTGAAAATAAAACTATTACAAGTAAAATCAAGTCATTTTAACGTAGACAATACCTTTCAGTCACAAGATAGGAACTGTAATCACTTTCTGGCAAGTAAAACTGCAAGTAAAAAATGGATCATATTGGCCCTTTAAAGGGGCTTTTGACACATGAAGATCAGTGTTCCCATCAAGGTTATCCCAGCTTGGTCTTGGGAACTTTGGGAACTAAAACTCAGGATATCTCTGCCTCTGCTTATTTTCACCATTCTATCGAATATGTATCTCTCACAGTATGGAAGTGCACCGCAGCTAAATCACTGGAGAAGCCCTTTAAGTTTACAATCTACTCTACAGCATAGGATGGTAAGGGTTGTGGGTACATTGCAAATGATAAGAAAACACAATAAATTATGCAGATTTTACAATACATTGCAGAAATACCTCTCTGAACATTTTAAGACAAAACTGTATTTTAAATGCATACATTACACACATACATCTTTTCATCTCTTATGGTTTCACCTTTGTACTTTTGTACATTTATGTATATTTAATGATTTATATTTGTCAATATACTGTACTGTATATGTATTTACCTATGCTCTGTGTGTATGTGTGTCTACATATATTTATGTATGTCCTCTGCAAGGTTTAAGCCAAGGTTTATGAATAGGAATATTATGTACTAGCAAAGGTTCAGTATAGCATTTGTTTTAGTAGCAAAGGAGACCATAGTGAGGTGTTCCACTGATACATTTAATATGAAGTAAGAAGTTATTCAAAAATGTATTTAGTAATTTAATATAGAAACATATATATTATGACAGGTCTATGTGCACGTGCTGACTCCAGGCAGAGGAGTGAATGCTGCCCTGAAAAAGAGAGCATGTCTAATCCTCCAGTTGAATATGTGTACAGCCACAGGCCCAGGAAGTGCTAAGTACCTACTATTCTTCCTGGGTGCCCAGAAGACCCACTGGCTGGTACAGCTGAGAAGGATAATCCATTTCTGCCAGGGGGACAGGTGGAGAGGGAGACTACACGGGTCATCTAACCGAGTTGTATTACTCACAGGCTCTTAAAGACAGGACATGCCTGAGGGGAAGACTCTTGTGTGAGTCTGGGTGTGTTTGTACATCTGTGTCTGTGGATATGGAAAGTGAATGATGACAAGTGCAAGGAGCGAATACCAAATACTCTCCATCACTGGCTCAAGTTATTTTAACTATTGAAAAACTATAATTTTGACAAATCAAAACTGAGGGCATTCCACTGTTACGCAACACTGTCAATATCCACATGTAGAACCCCCCTGTTCAGTTGGCTGGCAAGTGTGCAGATTAAAGTTCCAGTAGGTAACTTTTATAAAAATAACTTTGTCGTATTTGCTTAAAGTTTGAATATATCCTGACAGTAGTACATGAGACAGATCAGACAGAACCCGAGTTGGAAAGTGTAAATCTCGCAGCTATCTCGCGTGATTTCACAGAGACACCCCCCTTTTGGTCGGAATTTCAGCCGTCCAGCTCGGGGTTCCTCAGGGTACCCCGAGCTGGACGGGGGGGGCATGTACGACCCGCAAAACAAAGATGGCAGCGCCTATATTAAGATGTATTTTCTTTGTATTTGTACTATGTTGGTCGTTTTAATGTCGATTTTAAATGCTCTTACACACTTGTTTACATTGCTGCTTTAGTCCGGTCACCAGTTTAAGTATTGCACGGTGTTGCTGTGCGTGCAATACAAGTAAAGTTTTGTTTTCGAGCTGGTTTGCTAAATAGGCTAATGTAGCTAACAATAACACTAGCCTGCCACTGCCCCTGGTGGCTCCTGGAGGCCCCTGGTGGCTCGAGACAAACGCCACAGCACTTGTTGAAATTGAAATAGGCGAAAATGGCAAAATATTATGGAAATGTAAGACTTGCAATAACGGAATTACTTGAAATGTTAGTGTTTCTGTAGAAAAACCTATTATTATTTCACATTGAGCTTGTTTAGATGAGCCACAAACAATAACAAGACAGCTGCTGCACTTCTTTCCGACTCGTAATGCCCAAAGACAAACTGGAACGCTATAAGTGGTACAAGCCAGGCAATGACGTCACGTTCTCGCGGCAGAACAACTCGGGTTCCGAGTTCACGAGACAAATGGAAAGCAGCATTATTCCCAGGTGGTCAAATACAGATGCTTTGGGAATAAGACTCAGCAATCAACTATGTACAAGCTTCCAACCCAAAGCGTCTTTCTATCTTTCTATGATTGGTTGTTTTCGTTCAGGCCCGGTCGATTCTTGTTAATACCATTAGGAGCTCTAGGAGGAGCCAGAGAAACCTGATTTTTTCAAAGACTACTTGCTCGTGTTCTACTTTCAGGATATAGTGAAAATTTTAGCAAATATGACAAACTTATTTTCATAAAATTACCTACTGCAGCTTTAATTAGTTATTGTTTAAAAAGTCTTGTGTCTGACCTTGCTGTCTAGCTGGTTTTAGCCATCGCATTGGTAGGCTATATTGCTACATAGCCCAGCTATCACAGAATATCATGCCAGTGTCTAAAGTTTATTTAGAAAGCCCAATACTCGTGATGTGGTTGATAAACAAGATGAAAAAAGAGAGATTGATGCGGTGGAGGATAAGATAAGAAAATACTGAGTGGTGTAGTTGCATATCGTAACTACCTTGATTCACCCTTCGTGAAACACACAAAAAACGCCTATGACCCTGTCTAAACTCAGTGTTTAGTTTGTCTGTTCTGAGCTACTGTAGAAACATGGCAGTTCAACATGAATATCAATATTATATTCAACATGAATATTTTTGAAAAAATCTAAAGGAAAATGATTGGTAATAATAAATGATGACATAATTTTTATAACCTTGTCCGTCAGCAATCTCTTGGTGATGCAGTGCTTTACTGAACATTATGTGTTTATTTTTTCAAACAATTAAATGTGACAATTATTACCTCATATGTCATACTGTAAATAAAGACAGACGGACCAAAAAGAGGCATCCAGGGTGTATTCCACTGGACAACCAGGAGACAAGATGGTTTACAAGACACCTGAACACACACACACACACACACACACACACACACACACACACACACACACACACACACACACACACCTTCCTCTCTCTCATCCTGATTTGACCTGAGATGACCTGCCAGACCCTCCCAGACCCTGCTAGACCTGGTTTACCCTGTGGCCACACTGCCATCTAGTGACCATAGGACAGAAACCTGTCAGTACCACTAAAAATATAAATATGTGTGTAAGGCTGCTTTTTCAGTTTTCAACTGAGGGTATCTAACTAAATGTGTGCTAAGAGCAGTAGTAGAAATATCAGTCAGGAATGTGATGTTAAATGGTGTAATGATTATGTGGAAAAGATGTTTAAACCATGTTTTCTGAAAGTTTAAATAACCACAATGCCATCTCATGTCTAAAATCACACCTGTGGAACCTTAGTGAGACTTCTACGCACAAAACTTAAATGAAATTCACTTGAGTCAGAAAACCTGAGCCACCATCTCAGGTACAAGTTCCAGGAAGAGGAATTTACATTCTGCTACTAACCAGATGTTTTTAAATTGATTCTTTTTTTGAGGAAAAGATTTCTTTTTAAAGCTGATGGTGTTGATTCCTTGAATATTATTGAATTCAGAATGATTATTAAATGTCACTCTATTCGAGAAGGATATCTTCAAAAAGAAATGACAACGTTTAAAAAAATTGGGAGAGACAGGGATTACTGAAGTTGACTGAAAGGTGGTAATAATTTTATTTTTTTATTATTATTACTATTATTGTTACTACTAATTCTTTTTTCATTTAATTAAAACAATCTCGACTTGCAGATCAGTTTTTTTGTAGTTTTGTCTTTAATATAGCTCCACATACTATATGTGACTCTGTATGCATGTGCTAGTGCTGCAGCCATACGTGGTTTCCTGGTGGTGACGGTGGTGCGTGGCGAGGGCGGCCCAGTGCCGGCGCTGTTGTAAGCCAGAACAGCCACGTGGTATCGGGTGCTGGGTCGAAGGCCAGACACTCTGGCTGTGGTTTCCAGTCCTGCTGTCCGTACTCGGTCCGCAGCCGCTTCCCGTTCATGCTGCCGCCAGTACCGGATCTGAGAACACACATCATGCCAAAAAGACATTGCACACTGCACACTGCACATTAACCTTACAGTATAATTTATTAAGAGCAAACATACACTGATCAGCCATAACATTGTGAGCACCTGGGCACCCTGGTGGTCATAATGTTCTGCAGCCCCATACCAACAAACCGTGATGCACTGTGTGTTCTGACCCCTTTCTATCAGAACCAGCATTAACTGTTTCAGCAGTTTGAGCTACAGTAGCTCGTCTGTTGGATCGGACCACATGGGGCAGCCTTCACTCCCCACATGCATCATTGAGCCTTGGCCTCCATTGACCCTGTCTCCGGTTCACCACTTTTCCTTCTTTGGAGCACTTTTGATAGGTACTGACCACTGCAGACCGGAAACACTTGCTACCTGATATATCCCACCCACTGACAGGTGCCATGATAACCAGATAATCACTGCTCAGTGCTCACAATGTTATGGCTGATCAGTGTAAATCTTCTTCACATTCAGAGCAGCAGATGCTCTAAATATTTTTTATTTGGATTCTGTTTGTGTCATGGTTCTAGTGGCTGTCTACCAAGGTCATCCATCTTCATCAATAAGTGATTATCTCTGATTATCTCTGCGTTACCAACAGCCAGTGAAGACGTGATAAGCATGCTGATATCAGCTATCACAGCACTGATAAACTGATACATTTGTTATGATCTCGGTGGTTTAAAACAATCAAAGCTGATCAGTGAGCTTGAACTAGGTCGTGGGACTACGAACAGCTAATAAAATGATTAGAACTTTAATGGCATTGTGTACAAATAAACTGGTCCTATACCTTCAACCTTGACTGTGAGACCAAAGTTTGAGATTGTTTTTTCTTTGCCACGTCAAGGAAAAAAGGATCAAGGACTATGTTTCCAGGCACAAAATGTTCCAGTTTTTGCCCTCATTCTAAAAAACACAATATTCCTACTAAGCAGTTTACATGGGTAATGAAAATACATATTCCACTAATATTCCTGTTTCCATGCAGGTGTGCATACTCCGATTAACTGTTAATGACGTACTGGACATCCTACAGAGGTGTGGAACAGCTGGAGCTGCTTGAGCCATTTTGCCTCATTGAAGTTGTCCACTGGTGCAGGACGCATTCAACCGTGTGAACACAGCCTCCCTCTCAACCATCTCTTTGAAAAGGTCGGCGTTGTGATATTTGCTCCATTAGGTTTTTCATAATCAGGTTTCCCACTCTTTTTAACAAATCATTTTCCACAACATTTTCCAGGAGTTTTTCTTGATAATACATGACAGCACTCGTCATATAAGCTGTGGTTTTGGATAAATTGGCTTATTTACAGTTTTCCTCTAACCTTAACATTAATTTTGCCACAGCCCAAAATCAAGTAGAATTGATTTTATTTTACAGAAGATTCATCTTCTAGAAAGTTAAAGTACGTTGCACATACAATTAACATCACTGTGCATGTATTTATCAAGCATAACAACAATGTAAATTTGATCATTATAAGGCTTTTTGCCTAATTACTATTTCACTCACTGCTCTGGAAAAATGACTCCATGCCGAAAAGATCACTGCAAGTCAGTTCCACTTTGCACCTGGTACCCCTGCTTTGAAGTGTCAAAGCGTTGAGTTTCAAACTAAATACGCACCTAGGTTTATGTAGGCGATCTGAGTGAAGGGCTAAAATACAAACATTTCCAGGACAACATTGATTACTTTCTGGTTATTTGCTCATTTCAATCAATCACCAAGTTCCATCACTGGAAAAGTAGTGGCACGTGGGAACCCTGATAATGTTTAAAAGTAGGTGTGTTTCTCTTTCCGACCAAAAATGTGGGCTTTTCTTTTGTGCATGCATCTCTACTCCAGCCTTGGAAACTGTTGAGTAGTTTGTTTGTTTAGCACAGAGCTGACAGTAAACAGGTAAAAACCTAAAATGAGACGCACATTCCAAATGTGCCGTATACATGTTCAAAGAATGCTCCTAAAACACAAATAATATCTCCATATGCCACATATCTTAATCGGAAAATGCTCCATTTGGAATTAGGAAAACCTAAACCAAATATGCTGTTTATATGACCGTTATTAGATGTTCAATATTGTCATACTTGGAATAATAGTGGAAAAGTAGTAGTGTGCATGTAAAGTGAGAAATTCTAATCAAAAACAGAGACAGGTCCAGCTGAAGGACATGGGCAAAAATACATGTTTTCAGAACAAAGGGAGCAAAAATGTCCCTGAGTGCACCTCATTACATCAGATATGCACATGATGTGTTGTTGCTGCTTTGTGGTGTACTGAGATGCTGTTGAGCAACAATGCATGTCACATAATCACTCTTTCTATCTTATTTTTGGCCGTCAGTTACAGCCGTCTGAGTGGAGCGATCATCCAGATGTGTATTCATGCGGCTCATACCTCATATCCTCTGAGGATGCCGTTGGCGCTGAGCTGCTGGACGGCCTCCCATGAAACCTGGATCTCAAAGGCAGTCAGCGCTGTGGCATTGATGCTTGACGGTCCCACCGTTGGCTCTGTGAGTAGGAGCGAGAGGTCAGAATATGCAGCGTAGACAGCCGTGTTCATTTTACTGTCAGTGAGTTCCCCCTTCTCTCCCCCTCCTCACCCATACACCTACAAAAGACTAAGCTATCCTATATTTATCTTATTATTATCTTTATATTGCATTATTTTAATCTGTCTTTTATACAAAAGATATATTTATCGTATTTCTCTTATTTGTATTATATACAAAAATTATTTCACAATAGGCGACTATAATTGTGCAATATATATTATCTACGGGTTTCTCTTCTCTTTTTTTATATTAAAAAGTTTGATATTTGGATATGTATTTTTTGACTGTACATACTGCCTCTCCTCTCTTCCTGATGTGCTATGTGCCATTGTAACGAAATTTCATTTTTGATGCAAATCTAAATGACAAATAAAGAAAGTCTAAGTCTAAGTGAGCTGACTGTGGTCAGTTTACAAAAAGCTGTGGTGGTCCTCAAGGGACAGCAAATACTGCAGTGTGAGACAGTGCATTCTTCCACTGTATGCTGTTAAATGTTTTAATGTTTCAGTACAGTAACAATGTATCTCTAACAGGAATAAAAGCATTGTAGATGTTCACTGTATTGTTACCAATCTTAAATGTCAGCATGGTGATTGTCCTAAAATTCCTGCAGACAACAGAAGGTAGATAACACCTGATGAAACTATGGTAATGTTAGACCATAAACTGGTGGGCAGTATGGGTGGGTTGTGTTTATTTCAAATCCAGTCAATTTTATTTATATAACCCAATATCACAAATCACAAATTTACCTCAAGGGGATCCACATGTATTTCATAATCTTCATGTGTCATACATTTTGGCATCAATATTTGTGAATAATGTGATTTTTCGGTTTGTTGGGCAGTGGGTGAGGATAAAAAATTGTTGTTTTTATGGAGAAATCAGAAATGAAAATTACTGTGCATCTTTAACATTTTTCTTTAATATAAATCAGTTAAATATCATCAAGCCTAATCAGCTGCCAGGATTTTCTTTTATTGTGAAAGCCACAAGCTGGCACATCCTCTCAGAGGAAACACACAGCTGCAGCAGGAGCACAGCTGCTGTGCTGTTGACAAGACACCTTTCTGGGACATCAGAGTGTCTGAGACTGTGCATGGAGATGGATTGAGACAATTGGCTCAGGGTTTGATTAACATCGGTATCTGGCTGGTCCTGTGGACAGCATGGTGAGTAGCAACAGTTGGCGATTGATTCAACCAAACGTTTAATTATGATTTTAATTCATGTTTCTTCATATTACACTTCTAATAAGTAAAGTAGTAAAAATATGACTGTGTGTACCACGGGTCAGATCACAGGACTTAACGGGTTGGGTTGGGTCCGGATTTTAATGGAGATAATTGCGAGTGACGGGTCCATTCTGGTAATTAACTCTGTGGATACAGGTCCGCCAAACTGGACCTGTGCACTCAAACATCTGAATGTTGAATGTTGTACAGATTGTACTCCTGAGGGAATTTTGGGCTATATGAATAAAATTTGACAGGACTTTTTTTAAACTACTCTTACACGTCACTATATTTACATTGGCTGTTGCAAAACTGCTAGGCAGTAATGCAGAATAAATGTGAGAACTTTTTTTAAAAACATTATAGTCCCATAATGAAAAAATCTGACTCAATATACAAAAAAAAACTGCATTAAGACACAAATCATGTGTGCAAAGCTGTATTTCCCAAATAGAGATCAATTGTGCAGCCACCCAAATAGATTGACCCCTACCCAAAATTAGTTTGTATTTATCATTTCTTTCTTTCAAAAGTCAGTGTATTTCAGTGACTCACCGTCCTCTGCAGAGTGGACCACAGCGATCTGGCTGAAAGGACCTTCCCCCCTGCGGTTATAAGCCTTGATCTTCACCTCAAAGGGGCTGTATGGAGTCAGGCTGTCGTTGTAGTAAACGTATCGGGAAGACTCCACGTGAGGTATACGCACCACCGTCCAAGATGACGTGTCCTTCTTCCTGAATGCCAGGACGTAGCCAAAGCCATCACCGTTCTGGTACTCTCTGGCCATGGCCTGGAAGGGTCCGCAGAATGTTAAAGTGTGAACATCTACTTAGACAGGACAGAATTTCTGAGCCCTTTGTGCACAGGTTTCATTCTGGATAAGAAAAGCAACTGTCAGGTGCCTTCTGTACATACTGACCATTAAAGGGACATTGTGTAGGAATTTCTCCCATCTAGCGGTGAAATTGTATTTTGCATTCAAACGAATAGTGCTCTCTAGTGCCTCACGTTTTCAAATGCGTATTGCAACTACGGTAGCCGTTATGTACCAAGAAGCCTACCTGTGTAGGAGAAAGCAGGCAAGTTCAGCGTCCCTTTGAAAGTCTTTCTACTTCATTAGCTCTTTCCACCTGGGAAAAGCTACCCCGTTGTTTACCCTCGTTTTTGGAATTCGCCGGTCACGTTGCCTTTTTAATTCCCTTTTTCGCTTTTTTGGAGACGAGGATTCCTTCTCCTGTGGCTCGGCATAAGTATGATCCTCCATTATTAACTAAAGTGCAGTGCAGACTTTCTAATGTGCCGGGGCAGTGACAAGCGCCTCTCACTGATCTCCTTCTCCGTTATAGCTGGTTTCAGTCACGTGACGCTGGTTCTGAATGAAAACGCGCTGTGGATTAGCAAGACAGGTAGACTAGTGCTTTATGTCCCTCTCGGCGATTATAGTTTTTCAAAATGGTGGAACAACATGGAAGCCTCCATGGACTTGCCCGTCCAATGTATATACAGATAAGAAATTCTTCGCTTACGAGGATAAGTCAGATCATTGGCAGAGGTCATTTTACACCAATGAGGACACATTTATGAATGAAGACATTGATTTTAGCTAATAAAATACTTAAAACACTACACAATGTCCCTTTAAGAGAACACTACTGTAATGTGCTTCCAGTGTAAGTGATTGGGAACAAGATCCACAGTCCTCATTCTGTGCAAAAATGCGTTCGGAGTTAGATCCCTCTCATTCTTACTGTCCCTCAACCACAGTAAGAAAACACTGAGTGGGCGGACACAAAGATCATGATCTAAGGCGTTCACAATCTACTTTTTTGTTTGATAAAGCACAACTTCATCATCAGTTAAACAATACACATTTCAAATCTGTAATAATATAGGAAACTAAATAAAAGAATATGCGCTCACTTTATGAGACAAAATCTGTGCATTTAGAAAAGGTTAAAGCTCAAATTTTTTACCTCATCAATAAGACAATGTACACATTTGAAATACTTTAGAAATGAGACTAAATAAATGCATTTGAGTTAACTGGTATCTTAGCAATCGTTTCCATCATCAGCAAAACAATGTACGTATTTTATAAATGAGATCAAATTAGTGCATTTAGCAGGAGAAAGACGTTCTGCACATCTATTTATGACCCAAATAATATCTCCAGTGAGTGTGGGTCATAACCCAGTCTCTTGGAGTCTATGTCATATTATCTTCACCTTAACTTAACTTCAACAAATAAGCGCACTGTGGATTTAGTCCCCCGTCTCACTGGAGGTGATCTCTCAGAGATCTCTGAATGGTCAGTATGAACAGGAGGAATGATTACAGAAAGAAAAAACTATTTCCATGTGAGTATTGTTTTAGATTTAAAAAATGTGCACCTGTAGAGACCTGTAAATGGTAAATGGACTGTAAATTCTACATGTAGATTACCTAAGTGATCTCAGTCTGGGTTTATTATTGTGATCCATGCCAGGGGCTAACAGTCAGGATACCTGGGCCTCTGCTGCCTCGAGTTTAAGCTTTCCATTTTTAATTTGTCTCTCACAAGACCTCCATTGTAAGCAGTAAATGACATCTTTGTAACATTATAGAAGGGATTGATGAGGGATGTCTGGAACCACCACAGCACAAAGGCTGAGAAGAAAAGCCCATTTACATGTAAAGTTGCAGCAAAAACTACATTGAAATAAAGATTAGATAGATGACATTAATAATCCTTACATTGCTAGCAACTGACATTTAAATTGCCTTTACTGCTATATATGTACATGTACGATATATACAAACCACTCACCGTCCAGGTAACAATGAGTTCATTGTGGTCTCCTCCTCCTCCTCCAAGTCCACTGGGGGCCACTGTGGGAGCTGAGGGCCACATATATATATATATATATAAAGTGGACCAGTGTAAAGTATTATAGGTGGAAACATCTTTAGTTGGAACGACATATTCTGCCTTCAAAAGAGAAATCATTGAGGTCGAGTTGCATCGTGGGTAATGTAGGCTTAGATCAGAATGAGTGAAATAAAAAAGGCAAGGGTTGTTCAGCATCGATTTTGATCCTTTTTTTAAAGAACTGTTCATAGTGAAACAATATTGTATAATAAAATAATATCAGAACAGGGTCCCCACTCATTGTCATTTTTCAGGAACTTTCCAGGACATTTGCTCATAAACAGTCATATAATGTTCCGGTAGGCTTTCTTTTTTTATTTTAAGTTAAATTATGTTTTATTTAGCAGTTTTTATGACAATGATGTTTCTATTTGATCCTAATCAGGTGAACTTCAGAATAAACTCTTGTGCATATGCTTACTGAAGAAACCTACTGCCCCTGAGCCACATGATTCAGATTTTTTTGCTGTTTGTCAAGTGCAAACTTTGGTTAAATGCAAAATGACCGGCAGGGACCAGTTGCCATTGGGACTCAAGAAGTGTGTGCCGCCTACTAAGGCCCCTCACCTGCTTGCTGTGTGCGGATGGTGTGTGAGGGCATGCTGGGCTCTCCGCTGCCCAGGATGTTGCTGGCAATGACCTGGAATTCATAATCCATCCAGGGCATCAGACCCATCACACGAGCCGACTCTGCATTCCCCTCAATGTTAACTGGGTCTGGTGCACAGAGGAGACGAGATATGTGGGCAACAATATTTAATATTCCTAGTCAATTTAGTCAATCAAATTCAAGTACGTTTGTTTACTGTGAAACTTACAGATCGAAAGTTAATTAATTCTCTATTGATCATAAGATGTTTCAATTCTACCCAAACGTGCACACACACACACACACACACACCTGTCCTCATCTTCTTCCACTCTGATGAGAGTGAAGATCGGCCCATGATGACGTATTTGCCGATGGGACTGTGGTTGTCGTAGCCACGACTCCACCTGAGCTCCACCGAAGTCTCAGCAACGTTCTTCACCAGTAAACCTCCAGGAGGTCCCGGGGGGCCTGGACACAACATAAAAATGTTACAGTTTGACCCATTGACAGTATATAATTAGTGGACAGAAGGTCTGTGAAGTGAAGCCAATGCACTAGTGAATTTCCCCAGTGTGGGATCAATAAAGTCTATCTAATCTTAAGTGTCCTGCATTCTGTCTAATGTCCAGCAGGGAGAGCTCCATGGGCTGCAAAATAGAATATGATACTATTGAGTCTTATGGAGAAATGAGCCGACTTCTCACATGATTTATGAGCTTAGTAAATAGTTCCCAAATGAGTTTATGGTCTCAGTCTCTAGTTTTAGTCTTCTTCCAGCCAGCATGATGTTCATTTAGTAAATTGTGAACTATTTTCCTTCTACGTATCACCACTCAGAAGGAAGCGTGCATCTACTCATGGACAAGCAGCTTGTGCTCGTGACAGGATGTAAACATTCCTTGGCTGAGCTGTAATGTTAGCTAGCTCACCTAGCACCACTGACATAGGTAACATTCAGCTATGGTTGGCGGGTGTAGCTTGGTCGAAAGAAAATAGTTCCTACATGATTTCATGATTTATGATTTCTTGAAAGAAACTATGCTGTTGAATTTTTCAACCAAAATACTGTGTTTTTAAAAAAATTGCCACTGATATGATAATAATAATAATAATAATAGGAAATGGGATTCCTATTAGAAAGAGCTGGTATAAAACAACATGCTTTCACACTGATGTCTGACTCTTTACTGTACTTTGCAGGACAGCATGACTGATCATTTCTTCGTCTCAAAGCTTTTTCTTCTCATGTTTTGGTAACAGTAAATGCAGTGCTCCGATGCATCTTACCTCGAACTACTAGTTTTGCTGAAGCTGAGGCGCTGTCTACCACAGTCTGAGCTGTGCAGGTGTACATCCCTGCTTGACTCAGCTGAGCATTCGCAATCAACAGGTCGCCAATGTTTTCCTTCTGAAAGGGGAAGAACAAAGAGAACACGCTCTGTTAGTCAAGAGTGTGACAGGCTGAGGGAAATATAATGAACAAGAGATGCACGTTGCAGCAAAACATTGTCATGCTGATCGTAACTACTGCAGCTCATTTTCAGCCGGACCCACAACTACCTAATAGCAGCGTCTTATCACATCAACATTCTTTAGACATTGAGACATAAAGGAGTAGGAACATGAAATGGGCAGTTAATCTCATTTAGGAGCTCATTTCAGCCTGGCCCTGTGCTCAGGAACTGTGAAATGTTCAACTCGCTGTGCTGAAATGAACTAATTATAGTATCTTGAATATATGTAATGGCGTGGTCAACTTCGTCTCGCAGTTTAAGAAAATGCTGGGAAACTTCTCGTCTTGGTGTCAGTGTAACAGCATTTACGTAAGTACAGGCAGAAAATATTAGCACGAACAAGTAAGGCGCATGGTGATAAGGGCCGCCTCTGCCAGACTCTACAATGCATTTTGTTTGGAAAGAACTCTTTAACACCAGAACTTCAAACTGAACTGTTAAATCATGAGTGTTACACAGAAAAATAATTAGCTGTCTGTGCTCGGCTGCAGATAGGTTACTGAGCTATGGCCTTCAGAAACAGTGCCTAGTTTTGTACTGGACTGAACGAAACAGTTCGATCAAGCAGCACACTGGACGTACTTAGAATCAAGGACTAAACTGAATAAATACAGTCTGCACAAGTCCGGTGATATTCTATATTTTTGTAACTGTCAACAAATCCTAAAAAAGCCTCAAACTAACAATGAATGTGTCTTAAAAACAAGTACTGTGTGTGAATCCAAAGTCGGACATTTCGTACATGTAACTGAAAACGGCCTGCTACGTAAAGACACACCGTTATCTAGTGGATTTCTTTAGCATAACAAACTGAGCAGTAGAGACGGCTCAATCACGCTGAGTTCAACATATTTTTCAATAACATACAGTGACTCAAAATGTGCTCTACCAAACAGTTGAGCAGAACATTTAAAGTTCACCAGAGGTGTGATGTAAAGCAGTAGATTTACTCAAATATTGCACTTGTACAAGTAAAATACAATTTTGACATACTTTTTTAAAAGATATTTTGGGGGCTTTTCATGCCTTTATTGTGATAGGAAAGATGTGGAGACAGACAGGAAAGGGGGGAAGAGGGGGGATGATATGCAGCAATGGGCCGCAGGTTGGAATTGAACCTGGGCAGCTGCGGTAAAGAGCCATTCTGCATTATGAGTACTTCTGATAGCTGAAGTTCATTTTGTTGATTACTTTTGTCCTTTTACTCACAGCAAGCCTCATTTTGAATCTAGAACTTTTTACTTGTAATGGAGTATTTTTAGACAGTTTTATCTCTACTTTTACATAAGTAAAGGATCTGAGTACTTCTTCCACCACTGACAATAATAAAAACATAAAATATTACCATCCACATCTTCACACCACATCACAGCGTGATTCGATCACTTAGCTTTAATCAAGAACACACACAGCTGTTTTTCAGAGTTTGGGCCAGTAAACCACACTGTTTACGCTCTTCAGTGAAGCCAGACAGAAAGGCATTGATCAAAGGAGCAGCTGTGTTTCTGCAGCATTTTCTTCAGAATTATTGACACTAACAACACCTCAAAGCTGAGGTAGATTCTGCTAATGGTCAGCCATGCTGTGATTTGTGGTTTGATGTTTTGAAGCCTGCATGGAAGTAAAGAGAGTGCATCACGGCCTCAACTATCAGTGATGTCCCTCCTTCTCCCTCCACTGCATCGCAAACCCACCAAATCCCCCACCCATCATTTCAACAAACACACTGCAGTGTTAAATCTCTGTGCAATACAACACACAAAGGATCATCCCCACCACCTACTCTCCATCGTGCATCAGAGGACTTACCCCCTCCACCCGGTGGTATGGCCCGGCAGAGTCCTCCAGGTCCAACAGGACCCCATTAAGGGACCAGGTGAAGGTCAGGTCCATGGTGGGGTCGTGGGAGGCATGACACTGCAGCGTCACATTCTCCCCCTGATTGATGTCAGCGTTGGAGGGAGCCAGCGTGATCTTAGTGGCATCTGCATGGTGTGGGCACAAAATCAAAGATAATTCAGATCAGAGCTGGAGGCAGGGCTGTGAACGGTCATGGATCCAATTTGGCCTGCCAGATGTTTCTAGCAAAACACAATTAAACTTTGTTTTTTTTTTTCATGACTGGATAAATCACTGTTAAGGCCGTTTAATTATTCTTTGAATATGTATTATTATTTCTCATAATCTGAGCATGGGGAGAGAGAGAAAATGTGATGCAGGAAGTTTCTGGTACCATTTTGCATCAGTATAACAGATGTTGATTTCGGCCTGTGCTGCCATACATACACAAACACAGAACCTCATTGGCCGTTGCTGTATGCCATCGCTACAAGTCCACAGTCGCCATATTGGGGAGGTCTTAAGTTGGCTAGTCAGCAGTACTGATGGCAATACTGTGGCTATTCAGAAGACTATTTATTTGCTCTGACACTAATCTATATTAGGAGTTAGCACACTTAAGTGAGTTTTAATCTTAAAAAGCATGCACAGATATTTAGTCATTTCATTCAAAGTACGAAATATAATTTATCTATCCACTCTGGTTGACTTTTCCAAAATAAAATAAACAAGAATCAAACACATGATTTAAATGAATTTTCTGAAAAGCACTTAAAAATGGCTCAGTGACAAATATGTACTTAAAGGGTTCCTATCAGCGCCCTAGTGACACAGAATCCAGCAGGTGAGTGAAAAATCTCAGTGACCTTAAGATTATACAATCAAAAAAAATAAATTATCACATTATTCTTCCCATTCAATAAGTCAAAATATCACAAATAACAAAAAAAATCCCTCTCAGGTTTTCCTATTTAAATTTACCTCTGACAGACAGGTGTCCCGTGCTGTTGGCTTTGCCCAGGTAGTTCTCAGCGAAGCAGGTGTATTTCCCTTCGTCTGCCCTGCTGATGTTGTGGATCCACAAGATTCCGTCTGGAGTTACTGTGACTCTGAGGAGACACAGACATAGTACTGAATTGTGTTGTACAGGTCTTCTTGTTACTGCGTCCACCTCCTGTGTGTCAGCTCACTTCATGTGGTGTAGCAGTGATAAAGTGTTGTGAATTTTGAGGTAAATATTCCCCCCGCATGTTTTAACCTTTAGATATCTATTCCAGCTGCACCCTGCTGCACATTCATTAGGATCCCCGCTCTGAAAGGTGAATGTTACTCAGTCACTTTGCCACACACATGTTCCCAGCTCGTCGGCTGGTTTCAGCCTCCAGCCCACAGCTCTAACATTCAGACTGCCACTGTACAAGTAATCCGTTTCACTTTATAATAATAATAATAATAATACATTTTATTTATAAGCGCTTTTCTAAATACTCAAAGACACTTTACATAAAAAAAAAAAAAAAAAAAAAAAAAAAACATAAAAGCAGCCAAACAACATCAAATAGTAAAACATTAAAAACACATCAGACTTAGCTAAACATTAAAAGCATTAATTAATTAATTAACTACGCCCTGAAGGAAAATTCAGCTTGTTTACAACTTAGGTCTCAGTTTTGCTGCTTTATCCAGCATTCCCATCGTTTTACTCTCTAAACTAACTGATGATAGAAGCGGGGACGTGGCAGAACTTTACAAGAGTGAAAAGAAACCATGTGAGTGATCAGGACAAATCCACAGTTTGTCTTCGCCATTTTAAAACCAATTCTTTGGGAATTATAAGATGGTTGACAAATGAAAGGTGAAAGCTGAAGACATTAGTTTGAAAAAATAACAGATGCTTCCATACAGGGCAGGAGGGCTCACTGAATGGTTTGATGAGTTTGAAATTAAATCTAGTGTGACCATCAGGGGTGTAACGATTCACAAAATCCACGGTTCAGTTCAGACCTCGATTTTTGAGCCACGGTTCGGTTTGGACCCACATGCGGCACACTTGAAAACTGAATCACGGGTGAGTTTATGAAACGTACTGCGGATGGAGAAAGTCAGCAGAGACACACACAGGGAGAGAGAGAGAGACAGAAAGAGGTGGAGCAAGCTGGCATGTTTGCCGTGAGTGACCAGAGGTCCAGGCTAGGTGTGTGAGTGTGGGGAGAAGAGAAAGGGAGCAGATTAAAGTAGTAAATAAACACTAAAATAAGGTGGAAAATGACCTAGAATAACCTACTGTCAATACAAATACGATATAGGCGTACACCGTACATCTCTTACTTTATTCATAAGGAGACATTTGTAAGGAAGGTTCCAGATATTTCCCCAATTCAGGTTGTCAACAAAATTAGACCAATAGGGAACAACATTAGGGATACTAGTGACATCTCTCTGGAATAAAGAGCGAATGTTACGATTATTATTCCTCGTTGTGGTAGCGAAACATGTATTACCAACTGAGGTCAATTTAGGGTCCGAAGCTGGTAAACAGTCTGGTTTTTCAGTCCCTTTTAAGAGAGTTAAAATACCAGATGGGATGGCATCCATAACAATTGCAAACTCTTTTGGCGTGATTGGAATGCCAAAAGTGTGAAGGAATTCAGAATAATTCAGCAATGTTCCATTATCATTTAGTAGTTGGGATACTAGAATTATGTTATTATTGAACCAAGTTTTATAAAATAAAGATTTATTCTTGAACTTAATAAGCCGATTATTCCAGATGAAGCACCTATGTGGGGAGAAGTTATGTTTGTAGATTAACGACCATGCTAAGAGCATTTGTTTGTGGAATTTAGATAAAATTAAGGGAATTTCTATTTCACACAAAAGTAAATATACAAACAAGTAGTAGTAGTCCGCCATTGTTGTTGTTGTTATGACGCGTCTAGCGGCGGCGGCGGTTGAGGTTAAAGGCTAGAGAGGCGGGGCTAATCCGTCCAGACGACTCCGGGCAATCCGGCGTTTTTCGGATTTTCCCACTCTGGGACCCGTTTCCAAAAAATACCGTTTTCACACCCCGAAAACGCCGTATCCGTAATCCTGGACGCGAGGCCGATACGATAAAGTATTTATCCGGATTCGAGAAAAACATATTTGTGAGGACAGGCCCTATGTGATGGCCTTAGGGTTGGCCTTATTCTGTTCCTCTTTCTTGGTTGTTTACTTTCTTTGTTTCAGTAAGTAAGGGCTGGCGCTGAGATTCCTCCCTGATGCAGCTCACCTGAGCAGGCTGGGCTCAGGAGGCTATAAATCAGACCTGCAAGGCTTTCTCAGTCTCTCTTCCCCTGGCCTGCTGACTGAACTGTTGGTTTGTGTTTGTGTTCTGGGTTTTGCTTTCATACATATTCACCTCATTCTTCACTCACACAGACATTGCACACATACTAATTTGCTGACAGACATATTAAACTGTATTGATTATTTTGTATTTACTTAATTAAATTGAGTTAACTATTCAGACTGAGTGTCCCTCTGTGTCACACACTTTTTTTAGCCAGGTTGTGACAACTATCAAACCTCCACACTGGGAACCTTAAAAGTGTAGTGGTCATATATATGGTACATATAGTGACACTTCTCTCAAAAGTAGCTGAATTACTTTACCAATTACTGTATATAAAAGTAAGAAAATGTATCTAGTCAGTAATACTCCCAACCACCAGAGGGCAGCAACGACTACCTGTAAGCTACACTTATTGTCTTTGTCAGTAGCATCAACATATAAATCATTCGCCACATGTAGACAGAGTCTGCGCAGTAGTGATTGTGGTTGGCACCATTGTATCAAAACACAGCACGTACGAACAGCCAACTCAATGGCGAGCAGAGCTCATCCGAAAACCATCTGCTAACATGGAGGCAGTGGGCTTTATGACCTACACTGCAGTCAGCCACCAGGGGGCCACCAGAAGCCCATTTAAATGTCACTAACTGGGATTGCGTTAATTCATTTGAAAACGCAATTTGATTACTAATTACCACTAAAAGTTTGAATTAGTTTGGAATTACAGTAACACGTTACTTTCCCAGCACTTGAGAGTCAACACTCCGATCAGTCAATTTGAATTTTTTCTAGTTTTCTAGTTGTTTCATATCAATTTAAACTACCCAATCATATGAAATTAAAATAAAAAGATGCTTGATAAGAAGAGAGTAGATTGCTGTTTGGCTACAAACAACAAACTTTATATAAAATTATAAAAAAGAATGTATAGACTGATGTTTGCATTTTTTTGGTTGAACTTGAAGTGGCCCTGCTATGAGATGACAATACCATTAAAGGCCCGAAGTCAACTTGAGTTTGAGACCCTTGTTTTAGTGTTCTACATTACACTACATATTTGTTTGGACCGTATGTGAATCATACATAACCTTTGGTAATCCGGTAAATGTCATTGAGATCAAGAGCTCAAAACAAAACCAAAGCAAAAAAGTGTTCACTGTCACCAGGTCTCATTCCAGCTGAACACCTGTGATTTTGGAGTGACATGTTAGACAGTGCTCTCCACCACCATCTTTAAAACACTAAAGGAGGGAATCATCCCTCCAGTGAAAGCATAGAAGCTAACACATTTTATATTCTTTTATTTTATCAGCAATTTGTAACAAAGCACTACAGCATGGGTTGTCTGTACCTGAACTAGCTTGCAGGTTTTGGTCCATCTGTGCACACACCCCATTTCACAGTCCCAATATCTCAGCAGTGACTTTGGTGAGTAAATTAAAAGATCTAGGGATGATACAGTACTGGCTGAGCATGGATTCTTGTACTTAGTGAGCAGATTTAGGCTTTGGCTACCCGGCTGCCTGAATACTATTAAGCATAGCTGATCCAAGACATCTCACATATTCACCTATAACTTTAAACTGTGGGAAAAATTATTAGTTGCCTGCTACAGAGTGGCACACACAGCTACTCATCTTGGCTCAATGGTTTGTAGCTTTGAATAACTGACAGTTAGTAGCCACTCTGCTGCTTTAGCGCTGAATGACTGAATGTGACTGATGTGTTTGTACTGTTGTTGCACGGTCCATTAGACACTGTCAATCACACAGACTGAAGATTTAAAGGAACTGAGTAACAGAGTAATTGCCTCTTAAGTTGGGCCCTTTAACCCTTAAAAAGATGTCAAACAAGTGACATTTAGTAGAAGGTTTAATGAACATGCAGACAGTGGGGAATCCACTGGTAGATCGACATAAGGTGGACACAGGACTGAAAAACATTTCCAACATTTTGAACTCTCATTTTTTGCATTCTCTCCCCTCCTCTGTCTGTTTAGCCTAAATTCTAATGTTTTTTCCTTGCAATCAGTTTGGCACATACTAACACTCAGGTGGTAACAGACTTTCCATGCAGCTGTGACAGAACCTGATGAAATCAACAGCAATAAATCTTCTGAAGAAAACACACGGCACTGTGAGAAATTGCGTTTGATCTCCAAGTAATAAGGATCTTGGGTTTTTCTGAACCTTTCAGCAGATGACACAAGTTAAAAGTTGTTTTTTACTGAGCTGCATCTCCCAGGTTGTGCAGAAACCAAGGAGCTTGCTCACCCTGCAGATGATGACATTTATTTATCACTTGGATCTGAAGTTGCAAGCAAGTGTGATTTTCACTGTTGGCCTGGAACAGTGAGACTGAAGCAAAGATCTCACTATCAAGAGAATGTAGTGCCTACTGCTATATGGGTACATTACAGACCTAGATTAAACACAGTAATGTGTGATTCAATCAGAAAGATTCTCTTCAAAGTTTAATCACTAGTACCTGCAGCAGTGAATGTGTCTGGAAGGTGCAAACTGTATGAACTGCTTGCAACTATGAGAATATGAGATTTTGTGGGGACAGCAGACAGATACATGCAGACACATTAGATTTTGGTATTGAATTACATAAATGGTGCAATACAATCTACATATTGGAACCAAACACAGTAGAAATTGAGGTTTCATTACTGCGTTGTCAAGTCGTAGTGACTCTGTGAGTGCAGCATGGGTAGTGGGACGGACAGCGTTAGGCAACTACCCCAGTTAATGATGCCTTATGTGGATGGAGATCCTAGTGCTTTTTTAATTTTTACATATTAGACAGACATTTGTTGCGAAAATATCCAGAAATAGAGAAGAAATGGAGCAACTGTCTGCCACATTTCTAGTGATGTACTGCATTGCAGTTGCATTTTATCATCACAAACCGGTTATATTAGTACAAAAATTAATAAATACAAATTCTTGTTTTTTCATTTCAGGTGTTCATGGTGAATTAATTAGTTGCCTGGCATGTGAACATCTTGGTGAGTTGGGACGTCTGGGGAATCTATGTACAGTGTATGGTCTCTGACAGGGCCACTCTTCATGAAGTAAAGGCTTGTGTGTTTCACATTCAGTTTTTTTCTAAAATCGGAGTTTGCCACTACTGTTGGAGCAGCTTGCACAGCTTCTTCCTGATTTCCTAGACATCGTTGTAAAAGTAACATTACATAGAAAGTAGAGAAAAGTAGAAAATTGTGCACTTCCTAGCACAACTTGCATTCAAATGTGTGCAGGCGAATTCCATAGGCCAATACCCATGGGAAGGAAATCAGGGATAAAAATATGGTGAAATGACCCGTATTTGTTTGCCAAGACAGGAAGAAAATACACAACATTTTGTATAAAAATTCAAATTACCTGCTGTTGTTAGTGAGCAGCTCAGTCCCACGGCTCCAGAACAGGCTGGGCTTCGGAGCAGCCCGTGGGCGACACTCGATCATCACCTGCCCCCCTCTGGCTGCTGGGATCAGTTTCCTTACTGGATTCAGCCTGAAGTCTGGAGCCTGAACTGGAAGTACGGGAGGCAGGGTGGCATCAGAATAACAGCACAGAAGGTAGAAAACCAAGTGGTTGATGGATGAGATGCAGAAGGGAAGAAAGACAGAGGAGAGAGATGGGGAAAGTCAGATTATGGGAGATGGAGGAATAGGTAAACCACGGTCAGAATATCATTAACTGAAGACTAGAAGAGAGACTGCCACAGCATTCATACAGAGAAAATTCACTTATACTTTATGTTATTTATTGACAGGTCTACAGTTCTATTGGGTATAATATTTCACTTTGAAATCTAGTTTGGAAATAAAAAATGCACCTTTTTAAAGTAAAAAATAAATTTAAATTGGCATGTTATATTTTGTTTCATATAAGGGGAAATAAAGACGCCTACCTTGGACTCTGAGCTCAGCAGTGGAGTAGATAGTGCCATGTTTGTTCTCAGCCACACACTGGTACATCCCAGAATCCTCCAGGGCCAGGTTACTGATCTTAAGACGAACCCCGTTCACCTCCAACCGGTCCTAGGGAATGTGGGAGGTAGGAAAAGAGAGAGAAAAGGACGTGAGCTAAGGGAAGTAAAAAGGATGTGTTGGCTGTGAAATGAAGCATACATGTATCGTGCATACATGTGCAGTGGTTTATGGGAAATAAAACACAGCTCTTATTAGTATTAATATAATAATTTCCACTCTCTGAGAGGCAGATTCAGATGGGACGAATAATTAAAGAAGACCCCTGTTTTTAATGACATTTGGTGTGGAATTTGTGGTAAATTGTACTTAACTGGCCATGACATGGATTATTTACACACATAACTTCTGTAGTTATCACAAATCAGATGGTGGTGGAAGTAAAGAATTACAACTTACGTTACTATAATAAAGTCCCTTTTGGGCTACTTTGAGTATTTTTTCAAGTCTGTTATTTTACTTTTACTTAAGTATGCATTACACTATGTAATATACTACTATACTACTTTTAAAATCCTTATTCATTACTGAGTAGACCAATAACTTACATCTAAACCTTTCATACGCATTTTTGTAGCCAATTGCCAGGTACATACAGGAGGTGCCTGGAAGTTTAGGCCCTTATGCCTTAGGAATTTGTTCCAATTACATATGCTCTACACAAGTTCAAAAACATTTTTAGTTTACTTTTAATAGCCAAATTTCCTGCTTTACCTGTATATTTGTTTAGTAAACAAATTAGTTTGATCCATTCATACCTCTTATTACAAGTCTACAGAGATCCCTGTAGACATGTCTCATTTCCATCGAATGCCTGCTATTGATAATACATTAAACATCAGCAGCTAAAAGTAACTATACTCTGAGTAGTTTTTGAGAAGAATACTTTGTAATTTTACTGAAGTATTTAGTAGTTTTACTTGTAGTTTGAGTATTATTTCAGTAACGTAACAGTGCTTCTACTGTCACAGGTGTGGAACTGAGCAGTGGTACACACAAATTAGATAGAAACACAAGGAAACACAGGGGAGCAGGCAGAAAGCAACACGTGAACAACGACAAACCAGCACAGAGTGAAGGAGACACAGGTAGGAGGGGAAACTATTATACACAGGTGGACACAATCAAGGTGATGCAAACAATCTGAGGGGAAAAAGACAAAGACAGGAAGAAAAGTAAAACAAGCCACAAGAGGAGGAAAACTACAAAATAAAACAGGAAATAACCAAAGAAAACCCCAAACAATGACATCTACTTGAGTACAGATTTTCAGTACTCTTTTCACCGCTGTTCACTCACTACATTTATAATGAAACTCAATACATTATGGGGGAGTCATAATTACGTTGTATGGTACAAGAGTCTACACTGAGTAACTCGGCAGCATGTAAATCAAACTATGTCAACATAAACCTAACAAATGAGCTAAAAAGTTGCCCAGAGTTACAGATTTACCCCAAAGAATCTCAATTCAACAGTTTTATTTAATCAAAGGTAATGATTTCCCTCCAACACTGCAAGTTAGGATGAGAAATGGTTGAAAAATTGACTTCCAGAGTATAATTATTCCCTCTATGACTAGAATATTCTGCACAACCACTCAGAGCAGTGAAAACTTTACTGTTCCTTCAACTTTAATGAAAAATTGAGAAGAAGTTGATTTTCTGTGTGGAGATGTATCCCCTCTAGTTTGATAAGAAATAGCAGGAAACATGACCTTTTCTTGGTTTAATGTGTTCTCTTTTTTAAAGGAAAGTATTTGCACTTGGTGGAAGTATTCCAGTTACAGAGATTACAAGAACATTTGACTCTAACACACATTTGAACATTTGACGTGTAATGGTAAACAGAAACACAGCAGTGCTACAAGGAATATTTGAACATATCTCTGTGTGTGGAGGCCAATAGCACAGTAAGACAGTGTGCTGTGTGTGTTACCTGTGTGCTGAGGGGCTGTCCGTTGCGGAGCCAGCGTACGGAGGGTCGTGGTTTACCGGCAGCAATACAGCTCCAATGAAGCTCTGAACTGATCTCCACCTCGGAGTCACTCATCACCTGCAGCCACTCGGGCTGAGCTGGAGGTTTAGAAGGAGAAAAATAAAGGAAATAAATAGATCATAAGTATTGTAAGTAAATAACACTGATAAAACAGAGACAGAAACTGGATGAATAGAAATGTATTAAGGCCCTGATTGGAAGATGTACTGATAGCTACAATATTGAAGCTTTAGTAAGACTGCCATTGTGACATTTCTGTAAAAGCAAGCAGGATGTTTATTCAGACATAAGATGGAGATGTTAAAGTACCATACAATTAACATAAAGGGCTACATGTGTGAAAGGTAAATAAAAACATCCCAAACACAACCTTCTCTCTTTACCTTGAACATTGATGCGTCCCTGGTATGTGTCACTTCCCTCTGAGTTGTAGGCTTCACACTCGTAAACACCCTCGTCATCGAAGGAGAGTTCTGGCAGGTTGAGGGTGGGGCCCTCGGCACTGGAGCCCGCCTTGGACGGCATCAAACCGTCCACCTTCCTCCATCGCAGTTTCGGGACTGGACTGTGAGACAAAATATAGAGAGAGGAGTTGGAGGGGACACAGTACAGGAAGAGGATGTGGTAATTTCAAGATGCAACAGCACAGGGACTTGCAGACGTTATGCAATGATTTCAGAGCTGGAAACATACTTTCCATACGCAAAGCATTCTAACTGAGCGGTGTGTCCTGCGAGGCCGTAGGTTTCTGCTGGGAAGCGCACTTTGATGCTCGGAGCTGACTTCCTGGGATTGGCTGAAATAAAACATATATTCAGATTAAAACCCATTCAAATTGTGCACCTTTTATTTAATCTAAGAACAGGATGGGGCATTTGCACCGCTACTGTAGCATATATCACATTGTTCCTACAGTGTGCTGTTTGAATGCTGTATTGTGCAGAGTTTGACTCTAGAAGAATGTTTTCACATTCATCTACTGAAAGTGGAAAGTTTCCCTGTGCTCATTGAACATCAGATTTTAAGGGGCGGAGCCTACCAGCATGATCTGTGACATTACAAACAGTCCATCCTGGACCAGTAAGCAACTTGTACAGTGTGATGTAGAAACCAGTGCACATATACTGGCAAGATAGCGATGAACTTGGTGCATATCCATGATCCCCAGAGAAAGGTTACTACTGGTTTTGGTGATCACCTGACCTGTCCTCTTGTCCTGGTCAAGTTTTCCACTTGTTCCAACAATAATGGAACCAATGAAATTTTGAGGACATGTTAAGTTCTCCGGAACTTCTCCTAAGCAAGTAGCCATTTTCGAACTGAACCTTGATTAGTATCATTGGCAACACCTGTGTTTATTCTGCTATTACATGTCAAAATGGCTGCTGTGTAAAAGGTCTGTAGCTAAACTGTGAGTATCTTGGGTGTCCCATTCAGCATTATATCATGGGGTGGAATGAAAGGTAGAGCTGTAACAGTAATAGATTACTGTAGTACACTAACATTCACATTAGGCCTGGGTATCAAACCTCAGTAGCTGTTGAGTATTGACTGAATTGTGTATGTGATCCAACTATATACACAAAACATCTCAGGACAAGCAGGCCTAATAAAAGTCTGTACAAGGAACTTTCATTTTGTGTTGATTCTGGCGGCCCCTGTGGACAAAAGTGGTAGTGTTTCTACTGCCTTGTTTCATTGATTTCAAGGGAATCTGACCCAGGGACAGACATTAAAAACTATATGAAAATAGTCAATCTTCTCCCAGTGATTGTTTATGGTTTCATAACCAGTTAAAAACTCCTTGTAGCAGGTTTAATAACCACTGGGTTGCTAATTAGCTCAGTTCCTCTATTACTAGTTCTTAGTTACTAACTGAAGACACTAATAAAATTAACACCATGCCAAATCTTTTCAGAAATCCTTCTGTCTTCTATTTCATATTTAGCTCTATGTGCTGCTAGTAGACCAGTCATGCAGCTGCAAAGCCTTCATACCGTCAGGGAGCACAGTGAGCTGGTTGGCCTTGCTGAATGTGCTCTTGGTGCTGATGTCCATGTTGATGGTGGTGAAGCAGAAGTAGTTCCCGGTGTCGTTGGGCTCTGCTTTGGCCACGTACAAGTTCCCCGTTACCTGGGACACGAACCAGCGGCCGTCGTCCTTCTTGATGAAGTTGGGAAATTCGTTGATTAGCCAGCGATAGGAGAGCGCTAAAGAGAAGAAAGGTCGGTGCAATTCACGTTATTTAGCCATCATGCCATCCTGCTAGTGCTCTGATTTCAGTATTGAAACTGTCAGCAGAGTCACCCTTATTTCAAAGGTTAATAACTTCTTATTTAAAACACTGACCTGCTATCCCCCTTTATGACCCTTATCCCACCTGTCAGCTAAAGGCTGCTGCAGGTTTTATGACAGTTCTCAGTGAAAGAAAACTATATGGAAGTGAAAATAATTTTCCAGTTGACAGCACATTGCATTCTATGGCATTTAACGGTTTCTTTCATCTTCCAGGTGGTTTAAAATTCAAAATATCAAGTTGGACTGTTTACTTGCAATAATCAATACGATAGAAATCATGATACAGGGGTTACAATTCAATATACTGCGATATATTGTGATTCAAAAAAAAAATCTAATTTCAGGAAAACTGTCATAGAATAAAGAACACGCCACCAAATAAAGTCCCTGTGACATCGAACATCATAGTCCTCAACATGGCTATGTAGAATTGAGAAGTTCAAACACAAAAATCAATACAGTGCATTTCAGAATTGAGACAATTTCACAAAACAAAATCTTGCGATACTCGTGTAAAGTGTATCAATATTTTTTTACACCCCTAATAACTAGTCTGATATGTCTTTGGTTTTCCAGGACACGTAGGGACCTTGGAATACAGTGGATACCTGGGTAATGTGGTGGGGGCTGGCAGGCCAGGAAAGTTCCTATGCCCTCATATGCTGTTTGAGGACTCCTGCTGTCCGGAGGGAAGTCATTGAGGTCTGGAGAAAAAGAGCAAGTAATGGAAAAAAATGTTTTGTAACAGAAGCAGCCATAATAGACAGTTGATAGTAAGTACAGTTGTGGAGATATAGATGTCTTCTATCTCCGCCACAGAGACCCACTCAGGCAGCTCAAACAGATCAAAAGGTTGAAAGGCCTTATTTTCTCACTCACAGCCAAATTTTAGGTTAGCTGCTCGGCTGATGATGGTGCCACAGCGGTTGATGGCCAGACACTGATAAGAGCCTGTGTCACGAATAGACTCGGGGCTGCTGATCACCAGGTTTCCGGCCACCAGGGTGTAGCGCAGGTCCATACCAAGCGGGACCTCTGTGCCATTCACAAGCCATCTGCAAGACAAACGTATATCAGACGTATATCACAACTTGTAAACTCGGGTATGTTTTGTGTAACTTCCAATTTGTCAGCAATTTTAGGGGAACTCCAGGAGTAGACTTTTTTTCCCAAAGTTCCACAGAATGTGACATTAGTTTTGGTCTCAATGAGCTTAATCTTTGGGATGAGGCTCAGTCCTCTTTGAATCAAAGAAGAGACACAACACAGCCAGAGTGAGTGAGTGTGTGTGTGTGTGTGTGTGTGTGTGTGTGTGTACCCACCTGTAGGAAGCAGCTGGACTGGCTCTGGCCTGGCAGCTCAGGGTCACCTTGCCTTCACTCAGGCCCTCTGGGTAAATTAAACTGCTTGGCTGTTCTTCAAACACGGGCCCGCTGTCATGCCCCGATACACACACGTCACCACCTGGAAACAACATTTTTAACAACACACTAATCACTTCCCAATGGTGAGGACCTACAGTTGTGTCCTGATAATTTACAGCTAGTCTTTTTCAGTGCCTGAATTGGACCAAAAAAGTTGCCTGCCCTAATTCAGCACAACTCTAAACCTAAACACAACATAACATTTGGGGCGGCAGTAGCTCAGTGAGTAGGGACTTGGCTTGGGAACCGGAGGGTCGTCGGTTCAGTCCCATAGACCACAGTATGGAGTGTGGACTGGTAGCTGGAGAGGTGCCAGTTTCACCTCCTGTGCACTGCCGAGGTGTCCTTGAGCAAGGCAACCTAACCCCAAAAACCTGCTCAAGGGGTGCTGTTAACGTTGCAGCCCCATCACTCCACCATCTCTCTCCCCTTTGCATGTCCACAAGTGCATGAAGTGTGCATTTCAGCCTGTGTGTGTGTGTGTGTGTGTGTGTGTGTGTGTGTGTGTATAAAAAGAGTGAAAAGAACAGTTTCCCCTAGGGGATCAATAAAGTATATCGTCTATCTTCTTCTTCTTCTAAAGTCTTATCTTAATTCTTTTGATGTTTTTTAAAATATTTTAAGCGCTGTTTTCATAGCATAAAGTTAGAGCAGAGATGCAGTCACACATCCATTTAGGAGTACCTCAAAAAACTTAAGACAGTTTTAGAAATACCGGGGTCCAAAAAGTGAACTTGCTAGGGGGGCTTTGGGGCATCAAAATATCAAAGAAGTTATTTTTAGGCAATTATTTCACAATTGTGTTATTGAGAGAAAAAATACTGAGGTCCATACCTTGGTGACCTGGGTATGCCCATACACTACAGAGGTGGCAGTACAGAAGTAAGGGTACTCATATGGACAAAAAGCAGAAGTGCCAGTACTGATGCGTACTGGACCATTTCAGACACTGGTCTTTTCTATGTTTTAACCATATTTATCAAGGTTTTGTACTCCCTCCCTGTACACCCAAGATTTGACAATCTTTCCTTGGTTTGTGTAGTTTCTTGTCACTTACTGTGTGTCAAATACAGGTATAGATACAGTATATATAAAAATCTACAATATATATACCATTGCAACAAACATGAATGTGGACAAAAGGAAAGTAAATAAATATATATACAACATTTAGGTTTCCACAGAACTATGTAATGATTCTAAATGGATATACGGGCCAGGATCAAATAGTACTGTTGAAATAGTCTTCATGATGTTCTTCAGTACAGTGTGTAAATGTGATTGTAAGTGTGAAAAGCTACAGTGTTCCTTTATTCTGTAATGCTTTATGGCCCAAAAAGGAATAACCCTACATTACGTAGTCTATGATAACTGGTTTCAAATGCAGGTCTAATGGAAGAAGTGCATTTTTAAGAGTGTAATCAGGTAAAGTCAGGTGCTGCAGTTTCAGGATACAAGGATTACAAAATGTAATTGACTAAAATACCACAGAAGTACAGAAATTAAGCAGCACATTTTCCGTAAAAAGGTAGGAATATTTCCATTCGTTTTTTTTGTCTCTTTCTTTATCTACATATAAAATTAGACCAGACATCATAAAATGTCCGTTGGCAATTTTAACCATTCCTCAAAAACAGGCATTGTCTAGCACTTACAATGTCAGAGAGCAATCCTTGAACCACTAATAAATTGGTTTAAAAAAAACTTTTCTTTGGATGTATCTGGTTGTAGGAGAGATTCTGGTAATGGCTTATGCAACCACTCTACAATACATATGTTTCCAGAAAGGAGCTGCAGTCTATTTTTCAAGCCAGATGCACAGAGCAGTATTGCCAAACTGACCACAGACACACTGAGGAGACAGCTTAATCATCACACAATACCTTCACTCAGAATGGACACTGCACCAGCAGCAAATGGCATGAAATATACATGCTACAAACAGAGAATGTAAGTTTTCCTTGTTTGATGTAAAGTTGGAAAAGCAGTTTTTGGACTGTTTAAGCTTAGCTTAGATATCTTCAGTGTTTAAAGTTTTAAAGTGATGGCTGATATATTCTGGAAAGATATCCCTATGCTACAGCTTTGAGGTATCACTATAGTGTTATACTTGTTGGTTTCATTTATGTGTCTGAGTACAAGTATGATGCTCTTGAAAAGAATTGAGAATTTAATTAATTTTCTTTGAACTTAAGAGCAGATAAGAGCTGAGAAAAATTAAAGTATCAGAAGAGTCTAAAATCTGAGTCACATTCAGTGTGGGTGACAAAATGATGCATTTCAGTGGCATATCAGGACATTTCAGAAATACTGCTGGGACTGTCCAGGGCCCAGTAACAATGAGTTTTTAACCTGAGTTGTATTTCTGTTGAAGGGTGGAGGAGGACAGAAGGGAAGGGTGAAAGTAAATCTGTTCTCTCCAACTACAGGGATCCATCCATCACTACTGTACAGGCCCCCCACACTTGTGACCCAATGCATTGTGGTCTAATAATGTCAGTCCACCAGGTTTCCAAACACTGGGGCCTTTTGTCATTACGCTCTGAAATCCCTCCCAATAATCACATCTGCATTTTGATAAGAATCAGTCTCCCAATCTGTCTCAGAGTAAACAACACCAACATTCTTGTTGTTTGGTCAATAGAATTTAAGAAAATGGTGAAAAACGTTGATCAGTGTTTCCCAAAGCCCAAGGTGACGTCCTCAAATGTTTTGTGTTGTTTCCACAACCCAAAGATATTCAGTTTACTGTCATAGAGGACTAAAGAAGGCAGACAATTGGAGAAGCTGTAATCAGAGAATCTGAAAAAATGTTCTGCCAAAAGTTGGCAAAAGTGAACTCTGCACAACCCTGCAGGAAGCCATTTCTGGATTCTGCTCTTGGTCAAACAGACCTGCAGCTATGTTGCAGCTACCATCCATGACACAAACAGGGAGCAGAGGAGAGATATAGGTGGAGACAGCAATGTAACCTGGTCTCTGCCCAAATGGCTGATGCACAAAAATGTCCCAGACACTACCAAATAAGAAACTACAGGGGCTGCAGGGTTTCTGCAGACACACACCACTACACACTTCCAGTGGGTTTGATTGAGAAGGATTGTTTTTGTATGAGTCTGGAAGTTATTTATTCTGTGTTTTGAATCATTCAGAATCATTACCACTTTTTGACAACCTCGCCCTGAACTAACAACTACAAGTCGATGTGTAAAATCTTTGGGGGGACAGCCTAATAGTATTTTTAATACAGGTGGATGGTAAACTTTTGGTCTTTTCAGTACTTTCTGCAAGTATGTTGTGCAGTATGTGAATGTTCTTTGAGCAGATGGTGAGTTAAACTATGCACACTTGCAGAGACTCAGTCTGCACACTGTTAGGTATAATGTGTATTGATTTTAATGGGCAGCCACAATTTGAAAACAGAGGGCAAAAAAGTAACTTCCAAGACCTTGTGAGTGTGTACAGAGCAATGTTTTTTTCCAGTGTGTGTATATATAGCTTTGTTAGAGCACACATACACACACATGCTAAAATATCTGTGATAGAACACTGACTAACTTGTTAACTTCTAGCTTCTAGTTAGACCCTATGTCACCTCAGTAGTGCAGCTTGATGATGGCTACAGCTGCATTTAGAAGAATTAATTTGAAGCCTTACTTGGCTTCACTGCATCCATGTATCAGTTCATGTTGTGCAGACATTCATTTGAACAGTGCGGATAGTTTCCACATCTGTGTCTGTGTGAGCATTCATATTATTGAGCTTACCACTGATTACAATGAACAGCATTATTGTCTGCAGTGTATTGTGAGCCCGGGGGTACTGAGCATGTGCTAAGTGCACCCTTCTTTGTTAATTCCAACAAAAACTCAACACAATAAGCATCTATCATTCAGCACATTGGTGTATTTCAACGCTAAGGCCCGATGGAGAAAAGGGAAAGGGGTCTTCTTGAAGAAAATGTAATCCCTTCCACCAGCTGTCTAAAACCAAAGCCATGAAATTTTAAACAGGCCCTAAAGGCTCCCAGATTACCACACCCACACATTTAACTCATTCTCTGTCTCTCTCTCTCTCTCTGTCTAGTTCTGCGAACTGTGTTGAGGTTCAAAATATAAGTGAGCCGGGAGGGAATTTGGAAATTTCGGGGCACTATTGGGTGCTAAAGCAAAAATGAGGACGAGTATTTTTAATTTATACTTCGGCTCAAAGCTATTACTAATCCTAATTCCATTTTGTGAAAGTCCTTTTCAAAGTGGTTTGATTATTCATTTTGGTAATATTATTTTATTATCTAAAGGTTATATATACATAATTCAATTACAACTAGATGTCGCACTAGAGCACCAGTGTCTCAGACCAAAACAATGAGAGCTACAGCCAACCAGACTATAAAACCAGCAATTCACCTAGCAGATAAAGCACACTTCAAACTGGACTGAAATAAAATTAAACTCTACAGTCACAATCTTACAGTCAATCTCCGCAGTTGAAAACAGGGGGACTCACATGCACTAACATGCAAGCACAGCCAGACTGGCTATGTAAGCAAACCACAGAGAGGCTTTGATAACAACACAGGCAAGACTCCACGATATATTTACATTGCTGCTATATTAATGTTTTAAATCTCATATAACCTTTAAAGAAAGAATAAAAAAGGTCAGAACTATGTCATTTTTTGAACAAGTGAATCTAAACCTGTTTGTTCAACAAGCTGAGATGCAACACAATACATGTCTTTCCTCAAAGAAAGAGACATTAGAAAGAACGCTAATGTGGGTCTCAACTCAAAGTCTGAGGCTCTTTGTTGTGTTGAGACGCGTCTGATCTCTGACCATCATTCAATGATTTGACTGGTTACATGCAAAGGTGTTTTACTTTTATCCCAATCTAAACCCCAAGTTCCAATCTTAAACTACCCTTAAGTACCCTTTAACTCTTTCTTGGGTTAAAACTAAACCTGGTTCTAATGTTAATCATCAGCACCAACATTTACTCTTGTACTGTGTGTGTGTATTACAGTGGAACTTACCGGCAGCTTCCTTCAGGGCCACTGAGCTGAGGATAAGCAGCCACAGTAAGCGCTCCATCATCTGGATCCAGCTGGATTACAACAGGATAACAAACAGATCTGGAGCAGATGGGATCAAAACCTGTTCTCACAGGAAGAAGAGGCGTCCAATCCGGGTCTGTGTAGAAAAAAGAAAAAGATTGCTTACATGAACAAAATATCTCTATGGAGATAAAGACATTTAAACAATTCGCCATGTCTTCTTTATTAAGAACAAAATACAATGCCCTAATAATTTAACAACATACCAATGTTCATAGTAATGTACATGCATCTGGCACATTAACAGCAATGTTTATTAAAGGTCCAGTGTGTAGGATTTAATGAACATAGATTAATATATTCAATTTCTAACAATAGATCCTCCTAAATGTTACACACTGGACCTGTAAAGTTCACTCTCCCTGTTAAATAAAGAGCGAGGCTTTGCTATTACAAGTAAGGTTCCTCAAGGATTGTGTTTTCTAGGACATTTTCAGTTCGGATATGGCTCTTGTCACGGACACAGATGATACCGTGGGGCAGTGTTACTTTTCCCTCCCTGTCTTATCTTAAACTCTACATCTGGCCACGCCAACAGAAGAGCACCCTTGTTGATTGTTCCCAAATAAACAAGGTCCATCTCCACATGAGTCTCTCTTACTGCAAGTTATTGCTAAGAGAGCAATGTCAGCTGCTCAAAACTTTGTGGAGACCTCAGGTCATTTTACAGTGTGTCAAAAATATGCAATTTACAATACTCCAGTAACCACCATTTCAGCTTCATCTGGTCCTAAACACAGCTAATACTGTGTTCAAAATAGTTCTAATTTTGTTGAGGTCCCCCTCCTCAGAGACCTTTGGTAGTATACAATGCTCACTGTGAGATTGAAGTAAACTAACCTGAGATGTTTTTGAACACCACAGGGGAAAGGACAGAATCCTTTTTGAATGCACCAAAAAAGAAAATGAGGTTTGAAAGGAAATGGCAAACAAATATTTATTCCACTCAAATTGTGAAAAAATCAATTTGTGTGATTTGCCCTTTCGCCTTCAGAAAATGCAAACATTTGGCTATTACAGAAAATATATTCCAAGGTTCACTCTTAACACAAATATTTGTTTACAGTGCATGGAAGTCAGGTCTGCACAAGGACAGAAACCTTTTTGAAGAATAGATAAGATTCTTTAAGGCTCACTGACAAGAATCCAGAGAGGTAAAGGTCTTTACAGGTTCATGGGTCAACATATCAGTGTCCTAGTACCTGGACTGTGTATTGGCAACAATCTGATGATACATGTCACGATACAGAAGTTACGATTTAACACATTGCCATATAGTAGAGTGGTCCCTTTTTATTCAAAATTTGAAAATGTGCTAAAACATGGCTAATTTTTGGAGCCTGTTCAAATTCACAATGTACAGTCTACAACCTCAACAGACTGTTTAAAGTAGTTTGCCTTGTGATCCAGCAGAGGGCGCTCCGCTATCAGCTTGACCTATGGAATGCCCTATTGACCTGTCAGCACACTAACTTACTAATGTTATGTTGTTTACTATGAAAATGGAGAACACAAGCGAGCAAAGCTGTCCTGAGCAGACAATCTCACAAAACTCTGCTTATTGTTATTATTTTCTGTTTTTCTAATTTTGTTGTTGTTGTGTAACACCCCTGTTGTTGTCATGTGAGTTGCCTAGTCATCTTTGACACTTCTTCCTGTCTTAATGTTAATCATGTATCTTGCACTGTCAATAAAAAAAATAAAAATAAAAATAACAATTGTGGCATTGAAAACAAAATTTGAACTGAAAAAAGTATACACTGGCAATAAAACACTTGTATTGAAACTGAAACTAAAACATTCAATATAAAAAATAAAAACATGGTCGCATATCTTATCTTAAGTAAAGTGTACACGTTATGTTTTCCCCATCACGTTTTTATGAGATCATTTTTTCAGTTTAATTTCAATTCATTCAATTTGCATGTCCTTTAAAATTCTTTCTTCACTTTGAAAATGTGAAGCCCTATGACATATTGCAATACTGTGAGCAAGGTGATATGTTTTTTCTTAAAAAAATGTTTTTTTGCAGCCAGAACAGAGGGATCTGCATTTGTATTTACTCTGTAACATCAATCACCACAGCCTTTGATTTACGTCTACAACACTGCTAACTGTGGAATTTTTAAACACGACAAAATATTCCAATACTCAAGTGTATCGACATATTCTTACCTGGGACTCGAATAGAGCTGGATCCAAATTCTATGGAAACTCTATGTAGAGTTCTGTGTCAATACATCTAATACCCCAGTGGATCCAGGCCTGATAACGTAGTGCATCATAATAATTGCAAGAGAAACTTTTGTTGTAGAGGCGAGACAAAAAGTGGTGTTTGTTTGGTCAACCACTTGTTGGATCAGGTATTTATGTTTATGTGGGATTATTTTCAGATTAATTGTCGTAGTAGTAAGCTTTTGTATTGGGTTTTTTTCTTCTAAATTAATATTTGTCCATTGGTTTTGTGTAGGTCTGTTTTCAGATTAGGTCCAAAATGTTTGGCCCATGACAACTTCAGTAGATGCAGTAGAGAGCCAGGTTGTAAGAAATTGCTGGCTGGTGAGTCATTGTGAGTCATAAGGGTTCCATTGGGACTCTAGCACTACATTAACCAGAAATCTTACAAATAACACTACTTTCTCTGTTGGTCAGATTTTTTCCACTTTTTGCAATTTTGTTTAAACACTAGTGTGTACAAAGACTGGAGCTCTTTGTAAATGAATATGTTTCAGTAATCATTTGAATTAGCTGAATGAATTTAGAGACCAAAGATTTTATTTTTGTCCTCAACCTCTAAATTGCACTGCAGCTCCTAATGGCTCCTGACAAAGCCCACAGTGGGCCTGTCCTCCTATTTGTTCACAGTGAGTCACTACAATACCAAAGTGTATCGACTAGAAAACAATCCACTCCTCTAATTCAAACTAAATAAACCAGGGTCACTTTCAACATAACAATATGTTTTTTTCATTAGGGCTCTTTGCAACACTGAAGTAGTTCTAGCAGTTAACGCTTTACTGGGTTTATCGTGGATAGTGATTTTCTGCTAAGAGGCAAATCAAAAATAAGTATGTTGCAAGGACCAAAGAATAAACTTCTGAAGCTAAGGCCTTTTTCACACCAAGTACGTATTTTTCATATGCGTTTTTTACTGAGTCCGATGCATTTTAATATTTTTATTCTGTGCAAATTCACAATAAGAGACGGAGTTATCACGCAACCAGGATGATTTTGTGGTCCTTTTATTTGAAAGTAGAAAAAGAAAAAGTAAATATTGGGTCCGGGGTGCCAAGAACAAGGAAAGTTTCACCTGCTGATAAAGGAGCTGTCTACATGCTGCTGTAGCTCTGTCTCTCCCTCCTTCTCTCTCATTTCCTCCCTTGCTTCTCTTCACTGGAGGTTCCTACACCACTCTCTGCCCACATCTTGTATTTGGCACTGCAGCTACAAGAGGCTGAGCCCTACCCCCTCTCTGTCTGTGCGCTGTCCTCATCTGACTTGTGCGAAACAGTTGGTGCGTAAACATGACTGACACAACGTCGAATTTATTTTTTAAAATATGGACTCTGGGTGTAATGGCCTTTAGAATGACCACAGAGCTAACACATGCATTTCACAAGTTAAAACTGCCACATATTATATCAAAAATGTTATTGTCTTCCAGCGGCACTGTAGGCCAGCAGTATCCCATCTATTCTGCCTCCTATTCAGCTATAAAAACCCAAACTGTTGCGATCAATACTTCCTAACAAAAGGTGAACACTCAGTCAGACAGAACTTTGTGTGAGTTCTGTTTCACAGCAAGAAGCAAATGTATCACACAATAGAAAAAGTGTGGTGTGATTTTTGATGTGAATGGACCTTCAGTCTGAAACTGCCTGTGAAATACTCAAATACACAAGTCCAACTTTAATAATATGACCAAAAGAAATTCAACTCACTGTCCACCTACTCAAACTTCTGCTGCTTCTCCCAGTCTTCATACCCAGATAAGTTGTCATGACACGACTTAAGTATGTTGTCATCACGACCTAACTCATATCTTATACTTATATACCTATGTCACTGACAGTTGTGCAAACTCCATCCACGGATGTAAACCAAAAGATGAGGCTGAAAGCAATGCACAGCATTGTCAGAAAAGAGTGGACCTGTCATTTGTCCAACTTCTGCAAACATGTTGGGCAACTTCTCAGGGCATTGCGGATGTTGGCCTACAAGTTTGATCCTAGAGGCAGAGCCAGTTACCCAGGTCAGGAGTTTCATGGAGTACTCCTGCCTTGCCTGGACGAATGCTTTACAGCTAGAAATAGGAAGAGGACGGATGACTATGCCCTGAAGAATTATGCCATTGCCAATCCTAAAGCTCAAGGACTTCAAACAGATTCATGCAGTATATATTCCTGAATAGCTGCAGATCAGTGATAGGCTCTCTGAATAGGATTCATGAAGCTTGTTTCTGCAAAAACCAAAAAAAAGGACTCAACATTAAAGCTAGGGTACATATCTAGCAAGAGATGGCTAGATTTTGGATTGAACCCATGGCTGCTGTAGCAAGGACTCAGCAACTGGTAGCAGGTGAGCTACCAGGGTGCCCCATTCATTGCCATTTTCTGCATCTTTCTGTCTTTCTTTTCTTGCTTTGTTTTGCAGTGCAAACGGTTGTAGATACAGGTGGAACTATATTTTGGCTGCTCTTTCTCCGCCATTCTTGTGCGTCTAGCTCGGTAGCTTCTGAAATACCTGCCTGTCCATCTTGTGGAAGACTCCGTTCATGTGCAATGTTGTGTCGAGGTAAGCAGGGTAGGCAGACAGGCAGTCACCCAGCCTGAATGACATGATTGCCTGAGTTTATTACAGGCCTGTGATTCCTATAGATAGTGGATTTTCTTCTTTTCCCCCCAGAGGATTTGATTTGTTAATTGCTGTTGTGATGTAAAGAGAATTTCACTGTAAAATGCCTTAAAACTATTGTGGACAAGTATTTCTGAATAACTAAAGGACCTCTGAGGGCCCCTCCTTTCTCTGTGTGTATCATCTGATACACCTGATGGTCCATCCTAAGAGACAACCCTG